GTAAAAAAAACCAATTCCAAACACCACCACCATCCCCACACATAGTTTATCCCGAAAACTCCGTTGGCATAAACAAAAAATGCCTGGCGGGATGCATTTGTTTATATCTCGATCGGTTCTCACATAACCAACCCAAAACCCAAACGGGAAATCGAAAGGAAAACAATCGTTATTTTACCACTAACTCTTGCATGGTTTTTCTCTTTTTTCTTTTTCGTTCTTTTTTGCATACTACTTTGGTTTTGAACATCTAACTGTGTAATGCGTATTGCCCCCCGATCCCAAATAACTCACATCACTACCACCAACACCCCGATTCCGTAACGTATGCTTGTGCATCCCCCGTAACCCCCATCCGTAACTGCTGTACGGCAAAACAACTATTCAACACAACAAGTGGTTCCAGGGCACGAAGAAGCTGAAGGCGCATGGCATCGGCGTCCACAGCGCCGAGGAGATCGAGGAGTTTGGCAAGAACGATCTGAAGGTGCTCAGCGAGATGCTTGACTGCAAGCCGTTCTTCTTCGGCGACGAACCCACCACCCTCGATGTGGTGGCCTTCGCGGTTCTCTCGCAGCTTCACTATCTGTCCAAGGACATTGCGTATCCGCTGCGCGACTACATGACCGAGAAGTGCCCCAACTTGATTGGCCACGTTTCGCGCATGAAGGACAAGTGCTTCCCCGACTGGGACGAGATCTGCACGAAGCTGGACCTCAATGCGCACATTCCCAAGCCAGAGTGAGTGCTCATGGTTCGAAATCCTGATTGCAATGTGTTTTCTAATTACATTTTTTTTACTTTAGGCCCGAGACCAAGGAAGGCAAGGAGGGTGGTGAGCAGGAGAAATCAAACGAACAAGAGGGCACCGAGGGCGACAAAATCGAGAAGGAGTTGGAGAAGGACAAGGTAAGGCCTACATCTTAATCTTAGACGGTCTTTTACGTCGAATAATCTAGGGCCTATTAATGTAGATCTTTTGTTGATCTTTTAAAGATAATACTATTAATTTCTCGCCAAAGAAAAAAGAACATACAAATAACAAAAAAAGAATTAATGCATTTGTTCGTTTAAATTAATTTTTTTTTACCGATTTAAAAATTTTTAAGTTTTGCTCATTATTTTATTATTCAGAGTTTTTACAAAAAAGGTCTAGTTATTCAATTCGACGAAGAAAGAACTTCTAGGCATAATCCAAACCACTTTTCTTCCCATACTAAACAATGTCCTTAATCTTTTCCAGTCAAACGAGAAAGAGTCGACCGAGGAGAACAAAGAGAAGGAGGAAACAAAGTAAATTCGCCGTTAGTTATATGCGTACATATATCTAGTATATGTGTATGATCGAAGGAAACAAAAAACACCCACATACACACACATTATATATATATACATATGTAGTACGATACTATATAGTAAGGCCCTATATAGCTAGGTGCTGCTCTCTCATATATAAGCATTCAGACATCAGAAAACCACTCAAAAAACAAAAAAAAAAACAAAGAAAACACCCATTTACAAACCTAGGACAACTGTAAAGCAAAAGCAGGCAAAAACCATCAGCAAGAGAACGATCCACTAAGTAACGAGAAAAACAAAAAAGCATATACAATAACGTAACGTAAAAACTTTGGACATCTTTTTTTATATATTTACACGACGACGTTTGTATTACAAGAACAAGAAACAAAAAGCAAAAAATTTAAGAAAACGTAAAAAAAACCGTAAAAACCATTTAGTATAAAATTATAAAAGTTTATACGTATAAATATTAAGAAGATGAATGAAAGCGATGAGAGCGGGGGGAGAAATTATAAAAAATTAGTTAAAGAACTCGAATAAAACAAAGAACAAGTGAGCAAAACGTGAGTAAAAAGAGTGAAGCCAGATAGGAGGAAAAGTTAGGAAGGTGTAGTACAGCATACAATACGCATTAATCATTAGTTTTCATTCAAAAGCGATCTATATAATACACTCATCCACACTCACTCTCACAGACACTCACACACATATAGCATATGCAGCAACAATTGCAACTCGATGGTATTGTTTACTCTTCCAAAATTGATTAAGCTTAAAGTAAAGAAAAGATCCGCAACCAATACGATAGAAGGATATGATATGATATGACATATATAGTGATGGTTAGAAGGGATGGCATGCAATGGGAATGAGAATGAGATTGGTTTAGGAACGATATAACGGAAAGACGGCAATTAAGTTTATTTTTTATATATATATGATTGCAAATAGTAATTTTGATTCTCGTGTGCAAATAATTAAACAAAGCGGATAAAATTTATTACTTATAATTATATATATAAAACCTTATATACGCCCATTATGCATAAAGATGTGTATAAAAAAAAACAAAACAAAACAAACAACAAAACATAAAAAACTGTATGTTGGTTCTTTTATTATATTATATTATATTTTATTTCTATAAATATTATTGTAATTGTACTGTGTATTATGATTTTGCTAACCAAAATCCCCTTCTATGAGAAGCTAAGAGCGTTGATCTATCGATGTTTTCACCACCATACACAAAATCAGACTAATTCGAACCAAAAAAAATACTCGGCCATCCATACGAACAAAATTTATTTTTTAATTTGTACGAATTTGTAACTACTTATGTATATTCTCTTTTGGTACGTCCACTAAAACAAAATTTTGTAAGCCTCAAATATTTTTTCTACTGTCTTGTGTTTTATACGATATAATTTAATGATATTGATTATGCAAATATATATATAAATATGAACATAATTTCTACTGTAATTAAAAACGCTGCTGACAACAAAAACGAACGACAAACTCATAGAAAACACAACAAACATCTAAGGAGATGAAGAGTGAAAGAACTGGAAGAATTCTCCGCGGAGAGGTCACTGTCTCTCTCCCTTGTTCTCCGAATCTCTCCACTTTCTCCCTTATCCAGTCGGCCTCCCATTCATTCACGGATTCCTCGGTGTTTATTGTTTTCCTTTTTTTTTTTTGACTTCTCATAAAAAAAAACAAATCATCATCAGCCACAGATGGAGAATGAATGAAATCTTTTAATAGGGTAAAACTCACACAACTAAGAAATAAAAAAATAAAAACGAAAACAAAAACAAATACAGAACCCATTGAGGCGCGACAGAAGCAGTGAAAACAATTTAGGGGAAGGTCAAAAAAAAAGAAATAAGAAGCTGGAGAAGACGAGCGGGCGATCGATCGATCCACGAAGAAAATCTCTATAACGATACGATTTGTAGACTACGCAAGTATTTTTATGTATTAAAGGTTATGTTGTAAGTTTTTATCACAATATTTGTATTGTAGCTCAGTGTTTTATATGATTATATAAAATGGATAAAGAAAAACAAAAATGAAAACGATAAACCGAAAAGAAACCGAAACCATAAAAGCGTAAAAAGCAGAAAAGCAAACCCGGACAGAAAGAAAAATTATTGTATTACATACATCTTATATATAATAAATATGCTTCTTAATAAAAAAACAAAAAAAAAACAAAACAAAGCCCAAATGCGCCAAACTGATTTACGACGGAGGCTTACACGGTGGACACGCACTGTCCCGATAAAGAAGTCGCATCGGTCGACTTTAAGCCGGGGTGGCTTTACTTGCCCACACTACGGGGCTACGGCTGTACGGGAAACAGAAGAAAAATTTAATTATGACACCCGAGTTATCTTTCGACGTACACCCCTGATAACTCTAATTCAAGTTTGCTTATTCATATCTAAACAGTCATAGTAGCCCTCGGTTATATTTATTTCGCCCGATAGCAACCCAGAGAAACCCCAGACCCACGAAATTATTTTGTGTGGTCACTGTTTTCGTGGTCAACAATCAGGCTAGATGAATCAGTTTGGGGCACTATTAATTGATATGATTTTTTCCAATTATAATTGATCTCAGTTAAGAAGTTAACCAAAGCTGGCAATTCAATTAGGTGAAGTGAAGTACTCACAGACACAGCGCTGAACTTTATTCCCCAGCTCAAGGTCACAAAGGAGACCCAAAAAGTAAATAGTTTTACAGCCTTATATATATTTGCACCCAGATATGCCAATCAAATTGACATTCAATTCAATCTGACCCAATATAACGGTTGACGGGGGCGATAATCGATATTTGACCTAGGCCAATAAATTTTCCACCTCCCCCATTTTACTAGAGTTGGAAGTTGTCTAATCAACATTTAATTTGATGTTCGATTCGAACGCTTCGAAGCCATCAAATATCAAACAAATGGCAGGGGGATTTTGGGGGCTCTAAGTCCCCGTCGACTAATCAAGGCAAACACATCGATGAATACCAGGCCCACCCACCCCACTCGCCCCTCTATTTCTGTCAGCGACATTTCTGGCAATTTATTGAAGACGAATTCCAATCAGAGCAAATCATGCGAATATGGCAAACGGAATTTATTACGCCAAGCGTGCAAGGCCCGTAAAAAAATAAAAGGTAAGTGTGATATCGTTTGGATCCATCTATCTGACTCGCAGTTACAGTTGGGGTCAAAGTTGTAGCTGTTATTATTTTATTAGCTTCGGATATTTTACCCCAATAAATTTTGTTTTTCTTAGAGGTGTTCAGTATTCAAGAACTACGAGAAAAATGGTTTTGGGTTTGGGCACTGTTACGATCTTCAAATAATTTGTTGATTACCTAAACAGATAAAAATAAGATATGGCTAATTTATCGAATTTCTATTAAAAACCTTTTATGTGTTCTATTTTGTATAAGCGTATAGTATAAAAACTTCATGTAAATGTCGAAACTTTAAATATTATGCACGATTTGAAATGTAAAAGAGGCTTGATAAAAATCAACAAAATAATTTTGGTTTTTATTTTCGTATCTTATCAATAGATGTTAAATCGTATATGTAACGTATTTTGATAGCAATTAGGTCAAGGACTTAAATGAAAATGATTCTCATATTTTTGCAGGTATAAGTACTTTTTTATACATTTTATTTTTTAATACCAGATATTTGCTTAAAAACATAACTTAATCTAGATTTACCATAGTCATTATTGTTTAGTAAAATGAATATACATATTGCTGTGCTTAGGATCAGTGTTTGTACTTAAAACCTTTTTAGGAGATAGCTCCCATTGAGTTATTGAAGGACTAATTTTTTATCAGTTTCTAAATATTTGATCGCATCTGTATACACCTATCACTCTGACAAACACACTTATCCTGGGAAAGCGTATAACGGTAACGTTTGTCCTTTGTGGCAAATTTTTTTCCAGCTGCCAGAGGGAAGGGGGCCACTAAAGCGAGAGGGCGACAGTATTGGCGTGCATATTGCATGCGGCGACAGGTGGGTGGAAGGGAGAGGGCACGAGGGGGGTGTGCAAAGAGATAGATAAGTAATTCCATGGAGCATGCAGCGCGGTTGGATGTCGATTGGGAGTTCAGAGGCTCCCAGCATTGAATTGGTGTTAAGCACGAACCGAACGAAATGGAAATGGAAATGAGAGAACGAGACTGAGAATGAAAATCAGCAGTTGTCATTGTCATTGGAATTGGTTGTGGAAATGGGGGAAATTGGGGGGATGTGGGCGGTCCCAAAGGCAAAAAGGGAGATGAAAGACACGCCATCGAAAGGAGAGTCCACCTGAGTTCATCCAGTTGCCGCTGTTCACTGCAACTGCTCGGTTCGGATTCGCTCCTGCTCTTTTCACCGTTATTCCGGGAGAGTTTATCCGGGGAATTTTCCGGTTATCCAAAAGGGGCCTTCGTGTGATTTACCTGTGATTACAACAAACTGATCGTGCTGAAATCTAGTGCATTAAAATATAATGGATATACTAAATTAGAGCACCGTATCGACATCTAACTAATTGTGGAGGCTATCCCTCATTAACCGATCGTGCTGAAATTTAGTACCGGTGTGATATAGAGGTTTAACATTAGGCTGTACCAAATTAGAAATTCATTACTCATTGCATGTTACTTAAAATCTTATAAATTCGTAGTAACTTCACTTTGAACTTTTTAATTAACAATTAAAATGTTATTATAAATTAACAGTTAGGCGGTGAATATATTTTCTATGTACTGCTACTTCTAGTGGAACGAAATTAAATCGTTGTAACATGAAATTCCTGGGCAATAAATATTTTATATAATCACGGCCTCATTTTTGTGAATTTGCCTGTTTTAATAACCCACCTTAGATAAAAGTTGATTGTTTTTAGATAGTGGATAACACTTATCACGATAAATTGATATTTTCAAACATGTTGCAAATGTATTATAAGATTCATTGAAATAATAACATTGAATTTTATACCGGTTAATTAAAGCTAATATAACTTAAAGAACATAAATTAAATCATATACGGACTTACAAAATTAGATCATTCTAAACATCCGTCATGTCCAATCAACTATTTTTCCTGAGCTTGGCGGACATATTCTCGGTTTACCCGGCCATTTTCAAGGAGCAGAGCAAGAAGCTAAAGAAGACGAAGCAGATCTATCTGCCCAGCGATGAAGAGTGGCAGGACAAGATGTACTACATGCTATTGGAGATCCAGCGCCACGTGAACGACTCGTCCGATGATACCCTATCCCTACACGACATAAATAAGAAGGAAAAACCTATGTTTGATCCGCTGCGCATCACCAAGATCCTTTCTCCGGGAGTAAGTCCAAATGGACGACGAAGCAGGACCCTGAAATACTGCCATTCCACTACGGTCAAGGTCAAACTGAAGGCTGGAGCTCGTTGGACATTGCCCACCATTGCCAATGCTGCAAAACTTCTTCGCAAACCACCGATTTTAGTGAACTTTCAAAATGAGCATGAGATGCGATTGGCCTTCTCCTTGATTTACGATGTTTTTAGATGTAGGTCCTCAAGATAGGATTGTATTTCACGGTCATCTAAACATTTTGTTTTGTACCTTTTAGATAAGGTTGTTATGTCGAATGCCTTGAATGATGTCTGCTTTTTTGAACAACACAAGGAGGTTAGTGGAGTTTTCTTTATAAAAGTATCGTTTTTTTGGGGATTGGATTTTAAGCTGGATATTTTTCTTTCTTAGTACAAAAACGACGAACAAAGGATATGGTTAATGCTCTTCGAACTCTACGATCGTCAGTTCAAAGGTCGTAATTCCGAGGAGAAAGATCTCCAAGCGAGTCTTTACAAAGAGTCGGAAGTGACTGGTGGGTGTAAACACATATTTCAATATGATAATGTTTGTACTCACCCTAATCTTGAAACAGACCTCGCTGATGTCCTTTGGCAACATCGTGTTCGACTGGCAGCATCGATTTCCCGGATGAGGATTCGGGTGGGAGCTCTTAAGCTTTCCCAACTGCTACCCATCCACCTCCAGAATGAGAAAGTGGCCATCGCAGCTGCTAATCCTGTGGTCACCGGTTGGATTAATCCCTTTTTAGTGCGGTTAGTGAATAAAAATTACATGTTTTTTATTAGAAATGTATAACAAACTTTATAAATTTAATTATTAGAAACAAAGAAGAGGCGGATAAGATCCTTACCGAAATGGGCTTTACTGTCCACGGACCGGACGATGAGGAACAGCTTCTGGTGCAGCACTGTAAGTGGGACAATATATGTCCTCTGGTCATATCCTGTATTCCCAAGGACCGCAGCGAGTTCACTAAATCCGTGCTGATGACTAAGCATTACTTTATAATGCAGGTAAGTCAATTAAAATGTGTTACCAACTATTATATATATTACTATTTTTAAAACTTATTTGTGTGGCAAAGAATCCCAGTTTATATCCTTTTAAAGTATATAAGCTTATGATTATCGTCAACTCAAATGTTGACATTGACTGCCTTAATCAAAGCATTACTATTATCACAAATATTTATTTTTATAATACCATTAAGCTGTCAGATATTACGTATTTAATTTATCTACCAAGGTTTTTTATTTTAAATATAGATTACATAATCTTATAAACAAATACTACCTTTATAAGTACAGTTTTAATAAGAAAACGATACCGTGATTACATTAAACGCTTATTTCCTGTTGCAACTATAAGTAACAAGCTGAAAGTTAGTTTTTCCCGGAAAAAATGCACGTAGACAGCTTGCATTTTCGGTAAGTCAACACTGCGTATGATCAATAAACATTGAAACCAAATCTGGTCGAAATAAAAAACAATGCCCAATAAAACTATTTTCGTGTAATTTAATACTTCACAACTTGAGAATGTTTACACTTTTTTTGGGTTTGCAGAAGTTCCAATGCACTTTTTTAAATGTTTACAAACATTAATGTTTTTTCCAGGACAAGAACTTTACTTTTGGTCCGGCCATTATGTCCAAGTTGATGGATTACTTTGAATTGGATGGCGATATATTGCAGACGCATATAGGTTCCCCTCGATCCACCGCATATTTGGCAGCACTTTTCTACTCCATCAATCGGGTGAATAACTTCTATGTTTATGGAGCCGGTGCAAATCTGAAAGAGTACCGTCGTTATATGGAACTCATAGGGGTTAACAATATCCGACTGTTTGGCGATGCATTCACCTCGTTTCCTATGGAATCTAATCGATTTAGAACGGTTGTGGGAATATTCGCCACTCCACCAAACTCTTTTAGTGCCATTTCGGATCCCATCGATTTGATTTGTTCGAGGGGTGGAGATCTGAGTATGCTGGAGGTGCTAACGGAATCGGAGGTCAGCGATGAAGGTCGCCAGCGGGTGGCCATGATCCTCGAGGAGCAGCTGCTGACCCTCACCATGTCGATGTCGCGACCCCAAGTCCAATTCGTCCTGTACCAAACGCACTCCATTGTGGGCACCGAAAACGAGGATATGGTGAAGCACGTCGTTGAATTGATTAATAAATTGGCCTTGGAGAAGCATCGCAATGCCTACAAGGAGCAGAAGCGATTGGAGGCTATAGCCGAAGCGGAGGCAGCCAATATTCCCGCGGCTGCAATGAGCAAGGATTCGCCCAGGAAGAAGGATAAGCCCTCCACGCAACCGGAACTTCCGGCTCCGGGAACGCCGGCATCAACGGCACCTCCTCTGCCAAGAGTAGATAGCATTGATCTGATAGTTACCCCCGATATCGATGAGTTTGTGCAGGATATAGTCCCAGATATATGCATCAATCAGGATAATTGCATTAAGCAGCAGACCACGGGTAGTTATTTATCCCTGGTTCGCCGGAAAACCTTGACTCATCTGAATGAAAAGTACCTCATTCGTCGGGCGGAACAGAGAGGACTCTTTGGAAAGACCGAAAAGGAAGCCAAGGATAAGTCCAGACCCAAGACTGTGAAACTTCAGGAACAGCAATCGGAACCTGCACCCCAGGATTTGGGTTACGATTCTAGGAACTCTGCCCATCGATCCAGTGCCCAGCAAATAGTGAGTAAACAAATTCCGCCAAAAATCAAACCCCTGACCGTCAAACACAGAAGAAAAGGCTGTTAGACTTTACACTTTATTGTTAACAAAAACAAATTTGAAGGTGGGCGATTGTTGTTAAAATAGGGGATTTGTGGGAGATATATAGGGGTAATGTGACTGAGGCTGAGGTTGAGGTGTGGGGCTATGTACACTCGAGTCTTATGAGCTAATAATTAACATGTCCATACTGTCTGCGGATTGATCATCATCGATAGACACGCGATCGATGTCATCATTATTGAACATCATACCTCAGATCATTTTGATCGGCTTCATTATCTTGTTTATCGACAAGATCATTTCCATCAACTCTTCGTCGTTTTTAAATACTATTATGTCATATACTTTTAGATATTTTAATCGTTAATTTTTAAGCATATTAAATGTATCCCTTTAGTTTTGTTAACAATTACATTATTTTAATTATATTAAATAACATTATTATAATTTTTGTACCTCCTTTTATATCCACATTGTTACTTTTTTAATTGTTGTTCATTTTGTTTAACAGTATGCACACTTTCTATAATTTGAATGTCTTTACTTTCTATTATTTGTATTATCTTCATCTATATTCACATCATTTGTATTATTTGCATGTGCAATCTTATACATTATCATTCATGGAGGTATTTAATTTGTTGCATTGTTTTTTATAATATTAACATTTGTATTATTTAATTATTCACATCATTATCATATTAAATTTGACTGATACTGATATATTTGTTATGTTTATCTGTAAGTACAGAACATCAGCTCCATCTCATTGCACAGTATTGCTCACATTACTATAATCTATATTCACATCCTATAATCTTCGACCACATCATCATCAGCATTAGAGGGTGAGGTTTTAGGGTAATTAGCATGAGGTGGCAAGCACTTTGCCTTGGCTTAGTCACAGGCTCCAAGGGATTAGGTCATGCTCGATCTGCTTATCTCATACTTAGATTGGGAGATCGGATAGCCATGCTACTTCTTCCAAGCACTCGCGGATGAGGTCTTCGCATAGTTCTGGCTCTTCTGCTGCTGGTAGTTCTGCTTAATGTCCGCCTTCTTGCCACTCGCATAATTGGATGCCATGCCGGAACCACTGTTGCTGCTGCCATTGTAACTGAAGCTGGACTTGAAGGTGGGATTGCCGATGCTCTTGAACATGGGATGATTCTTGCCGGCGCCCACTGGCGGTGCCGACTGATTGTAGTAGCTCTTTTGGGAGCTACTCTGCAGCTGTCCCTTGTCCGAGGACATTTGGCGGGCATAGGAGGAGAGGCCCAGACCCACGGCGCCCATGCCCACGCCCAGTCCCACGGTGCCCACGCCCACTCCGCCCATGCCCACGCCGTAGGATTGCTGCTTGTGGCTGGTGCTGAAGGTGGCCGCCTGGCTATCGCTGGCCAGCGATCCACTCTGCGTGTAGAACTGCTGTTGCACCTCCACTATGTAGCGGTAGGCCTCCTCCATGCTCTTCGGATTTCTACGCAGGATCATCGAGTGGGTGGGTTCGGGCAGGTGATCCCTAAACACCTGCAGCGTGATCCTCTCAATATCCTCGAGGCCATACAAAGTGTCGTTGTGCGTTAGCTTTCTATTGATCAGTCTGTGCTTCAGTTTGGCCATCTTCTGGTAATACAGCTCTATGTTCGAGTCCACAACAGCACTGCGTATCTTGTGTATCAGCGAATAGCTGGACTCCCTTTCCGCATAGTTATACAGCAACTGATCCTTGAGTTTCAGCCAGGATTCGGCTTTCAGGAGGTGGCCATTTGCAGACCCATTGCCATTGCCAACGGGAGCACTCATTTGACGTGTGAAAACGGCTTCTCTTGCTCGTTCCGTGCACTTATTTTTTATATGTCCTATTAGCTGAGCTTTATAGTAGTCATCGAAACTATTTATGGCCGGCATTAGGGCCTCGATTTTCTGCAGAAACTGGGGCAGCTTGCCAGGATCAGTGCCATCGAAGTTCTCCACCAGCTTCAGGCGACTAAGGACCTGATTGTATTTGTTCACAAACTCGGGATCCATCGTGGTAATATCCCAGTTTTCACCGCAGCGTTATGCTATAGCTTTACCGTTATTACCGATCGATGCGTTCGCAGCGACGTTTCGGGCGCGACTGCTTTCAAAATTCGAAATCACCGCCAGCTACTGCTGCCGCCGCGTCAATAATTGTTGTGTATGGAAAAACAGATTTTAGATTCTTACAAATGTATAAATTAACATTCATTAACATGAATTTTACTTGCAAGACCCTCTCCGATCCAATCCGACAATGACAACGGAACGGTTGCGAATCCGAAATCGACACGAACCGTGGTCGAACCGACTGAACTGAACTGAACTGAGCTGAGCGGATCCGAACCCGAACAGAAATCAACTGGCAGAATAAAAACAGAACGGAACACAGCGCCCGCCATTCATTGTGGTGGGAGTTGTGGTGCCCTATACATTTGGAGTAGGCTGGGGTGTGCTAAGCCTTTCAGGTGGTACGACACGGACCATTAGAAATCACAAAGCTTTTAGTCCTTAAAACATTTTTAATATGTGGATCCTAGATAAGGCATTCTAACATCGATAGTTCAATGTCCGAAAGTAAATTAAAAGTTATTCCTTAAAGGTACTTATACCATATATGGTTCCCAAGATTGTAGCATTCATTTTAAATGCAACTTATAAGATTTTAAAATTGTAGATATGGTTTAAGAGAAAAGATTATCCAAAGAAAGATTAACTTTTACAAACAATTAGGAATTGTTAAAAAATCGTAACCCTCTTAAGATTTCTTAATGTTGTATACAAAATTATTTTTCGAAATGATCTAGATTTTTTTTTCATAGAGAATCGTTTTAAGTTTCCTTGTAAAAAAGGAATATTATTTTAAAAAGGAATACATTTTCAATAAATATTTCACTAGTGTATAGTCCTTTCGTTTGTTAAAATCATTGCATACCTTTTGGCGACTGATTGGAGATGACATTAGAAAATCAAATCGTTTTCTGATCCAAATATTTTATTGAACCACATACAATTTTGTATGTAGGTGACAATTTGAAGTCTAAATCTTGTTGCGTGGTAATACAATGGGTATCTGAGAATCGTCACGCTTTCCCCTATTGTTGCTATTTGTTTACTGTTGTTGTGTTGTGTGCCCGGCGCTGAATCATAGGCACACACAAGCCCGGCGACACCCTGCGACCGATCGTGCTTAGATATAGCCGGGCAGATAGAGAAGGAGATAGTGCCAGCCCAACGGACACGGGCCCACAAAAACCCCGTAGCACGCACATACCCCTAATACAACATCAAACACAACAACGAATTTCATGAAAAAGCGCGCACAAATCGCTTTAAACGAAGCGTTAGATTTGTTTGTTTTTCCGTTCGCTGTTTTGGTTGCCGTGTTAATTGTCAGAGGGCAAATGGCGAAAACAATAAATAAATAAATAGAGAAAGTGCATGCGAGGATAACAAAACTGGGTTTTTATCGACAGGCAGTCGAAATGCACATGCAGCAACCTTTTAAATATTACACATACGCAGTGATTGACAACAAAAAAATGCGACTTTTCAACTTTATTCACATGCAAATTGTTCGAAAGAGCAATTGCATTCAAGGTCCTTTCATAATTTCAGATTTTTTCGAAGAATCTAATTGTGCACCTCACGCTGCACCCTGCACTCGATTGCTCATCGCTTGATCTGCACTCAATCGACCCCAGCAACATCTAATTCAGCTCGATTGCCTCCAATCTTGACACGTGCACTTGGAGAAAAATGTTTACTGAAATTGGTTAATTAATATATTTATTTGTTTACTCTTCACTGAATTTACTAGCCAATACTTTATCATTTAATAATATTTTACAGCCTTTGACTTGAGTATTATTTGGAATTAGGAGAAGGCTATTGTGACAATGAATCATTTTAGAACTCAACTTTTGATACAAAAACATTCTTAACAAAAATTGTTTAAATTTAATAACAAATTTGTATTAATTTATCATTGAAGTGATTTTTACAAAAAAAAAACAATCAATATTCTATATTTTCATTTAACTTCTATCTACAACTTCTATCTACAGACTTTTAGATAGGAAAGTTCGAGTTATAGAATCTCGACTGTTTCTGGTTAATGGTATTTAAATAGTTCTTAACACGTAATTTCTCGCGGTGCACTGCTACTCATACCAGCGCACACCTTTATTAGAGCTGGCACTGCTTGGCGGTTACCACCGCTTAACCCTCCACCGCCCCCTGTCCCATCGATGGGTCGCCGCTTTTAAGGTCTACTGCGCCGGCGTGCGCGGTTCAACTAATTAGCAACAATTTCTGAGCGTTAGCGGCTTGTAAAACTGTTTAATAATAGCAAAAACTTGTCGGCGTGTAGTCATCGCCGAGGACAAATCACAAAGAAGCCGAGAGACAGGGAAGGGGGCGGTAGATTAAGGGGTAGCGGGGCGGGTTCCATTGGGGTGCTAATTTAAATCGCGTCTCTAAACTGATAAGCGGATTTAATTGCTATCAACTTCGAGTTGGATGACTTCGCTTTTGCCTGTCGCTTTTGCTCACTGCGACAACAATCCGCACCGCCTTGCAACTGTAATTTTTATAGTTATTATTATGTAGACAACAAAAGCGACTTGCTTTGCCGCTTTGATAAGCAAGTTCAGGGACTCCCCCACCACCCACTTACCCACCCGATCCAACAGAACCCCACCCAAACGATCCCCACTTATAAATATCAGAGCTATTGTGGAGTTTTCCGACCCTAAGATAACGATTACTTGCTGAAAGGTGATTAATCATATTGTAGATATTGGCGATATATTATCATTTCATTCACAACTGTTAGTAAAATTTAAATGATAACGTTTTTAGCAAACTTTCTGATATGGCTTATATACACTCCTCAAAACAAATGTTTACTTGAGTTTTATTTAAAAATAAATAAACAAACTCATAAATCTTGTGTTTATGAATCTAATAAATACCCAATCATAATGATTTGATAAAAAAACTTGTATTTTGTGTTTTTTCTTAAATAGATCAAATATTTTTATTAATAAAGGAATCTTTTGGAACGTAGTTTTTCCCCAATATTCCTAGTTTTTAAAATAGAAATTTATAAGATGTTTCAAAACCAACATTAAAGAAATAATTCCCTATTAATGAAAAATAAATATCTATCAATATTCTGTTGAAGTGCTCCAATTAGGCACACTTTTTAATGCAAATGTAACGCATAAATACGTATAGGCCTCCCAAATATGGCTTTCAATGTTCGTATTATTTGCTAGAGCCAGGTGTCTAAACTAATAACAATATAGAACCGAGTATCGGCCATAACTTAAATGAAACCCAGCTCGACTCGAATCATTTGCAAGCCAAATTTGGCGCGAATTCTTTGCAAACATTTTGCGCATATTAATTGTGTTCTCAAAATGTGTTCAATTGTTTGGAAAACTAATTACGTGCGCGCGCCATTTTATTTTATTTTATTTTCGCAGCTCCAGCGTCTGCAGCGATCGACGAGCGCCAGCGCGATCCGTTCGCACCTGACCAAGGTATCATCGACATACCGCCGCCCCATCGCCTTCAACTTTATACGGCGCGAGTGCAAGCGTTTCTACGTTTTGCCCGTCTACATGGTGAGTGTTCTTTCCCTTCAGTCATCTTTTAGGGTCCAATAATATTTACAGCCCCCACACACACACAACACACCCACTACTAAAACCACCCACTGGCAATCCCGATTTCAGAACAGCACCAAACAGAGCATTCGATTATGGTGGCAATACGCGTACAAATGCGTCACGCCCTCCGCCTCAGCCGATGCGGCATGGAATCCGAATCTGAAGTTTAGACTACACTGTAGCCGCCAGCTGCGCATCCGGAAATTGAGACGTGGTCCGTGGTCCAGGAGGCAGCCACTCCGGTTGCATATCAATGACATCAAGCTATTGTGCCAGGTGCGCAGGCGAAGTAAATAAAGCTTTAGGGCTTCTAGACGTAATTCCTAGTTAAATTATGGTTTAATCAAAATTCCACAGAAAATTCTGTTTGAAATTGGAACTTAAAATCTTGCCGCCTTTCGAGGGCATTGCCATACACTTGAAACTTATCGATAAAATGTCAGTGTTGAATAAAAATTCAATACAAATTTTAAATAAAATAATATTGAATTTTTTAGTATATAAAATAAATATATATTAAATCGAATTTAAGCACACATCTGATACTCTTTATTTAATTTTAGTATATAACTAGTTGAATGCATTATTCAGCTTGATAAATTAATTTTAAGTCAAATAAATTTTGGAACAATTAAAAGTTGTTAAAAATTAAAACTAAATGTAATAGTATTGTTTATTTTATCAGAAGCCAGGAGTTGTATATAAAGGAATAGAAAATAAATATATATTGTAATTTAAATATAGCAACCAAAGTGAAAATCAAACTAAATATCTAACAAATTAAGGAACATAATTTGAATACTTTAATAGAACCAAATCAACATTTTAGATAGATTTAAAAATTACATTTCTTTTATTTAATGGAATAATAATATTAACAATAAATGAAATAGGTTTGTTCTGGAACCGAAATAAAATTGTTGTCAAAATGTAAATTGCAAAAAGAGTTTATTAATTTAAGTTTCACGATAATTCCGATCTGAATTTTTTCCATAATATAATAAGTTGTACAGAGTAATCATGAAGTATTTGATTTATTTGTAGGATGAGCGGTGATTGAGTACAAGTACAAAAATTTATTTAATGAATTTTGAATTGTTCGTCAATGTCCTGTATCCTTAAATGACTTACGCGGCTGAGTAAATGGATTAGGGTATATGCGATGCGATACGCTATAGTATAGTCATAGTTTATAGACATAGAATGTTGATATCCTAAGGGCAATCCACCTAAATAGCACAGGTTTGATAATGTGAGTCCCATGCACGCAGCTGAAATGGATGTATTAAAAATAAAACATTTTTATTAATATTTTTTGTGGTGTCGGATAAGACAAAATAATTGTGGTAGGTAAGTTTTTGAAATTGTATATATGTTAATCTTCTCACCAAATTCCGGCCGAATTTAGAAAACGTTTATATATTAAAGAATGAATTTTTAAAGAATATGGGAATTTGATTAAACTGATTTGATTGTTTTGGACAAAAGTAATGTTTTTTTTTAAACGGCCAAACTTATATGAATTTACGCTCGGAAGATATTTCTGTATCGCTTTCATTCATCCTACAAAATAACCGGAAGGTGCGGCTCACCTGGCATTCACGACTGCAGTACCATTGACTCTGGCAGCCGGTGCACAAGTAGGTGGCTTTACGCCGCTTGCATTCGTGGCAGCGTTTATGGTCCTTGCCGTTAGATGCAGCAGCGGACTTGGGTATCTTCTTATCGCCTGTCGTCTTAATCTTGTCTATCTTGCGTTTAATATCAGCCAATTCTTCATCTTTGCGGTAGACGGAATGTGATGCCTGGTACTGTTGAGTATAAATATGAATTTGATGTACATGCACACATTTATTTCAATTTTTTCTTACTTGTTGTTGACGCTGAGAGACCATGGGACTGCTGTTAAACAGCGGTTTGAGCAGTGATTCATTGTCAAAGTGATTGTCCAGGGAAAGGTTATTTAAAGGCTTTCCCGAACCCATAAATTTGTTGTAGGAAGAGGAGGAAGTGGCGGCCAAATTTGGGGTGGAGTTGACCATCTCTTGGTGGTATCTAATTGAAATAATTGAATATTAGTAAGAAGAAAACCAAAGGATCTATAGCATAGTCTTCCCACCTGTCTTGCGAGTGAAATAGTTTTGGCCGCTTAGCAAGTGGAGCTTTATCTGTATTAAGTTCTCGCTGATATTCTGGCGGTGGCTGACGTGCAGGCAAGGAATTTCTTCTGAATTCCTGGCGCTCCTCCTCAAAATTACGAAAAGATACAGGCGGTGCTTGTTCCCTCAAGCCCATTGCTCTTAAAAAAATAACTGGATATTAGAAGAACTCTCTTAACTGGCAATTAAATATTCGAAACTCACCCGCGCAGCAAACGGATGTTTTTCTGGTTGAGTTCTGCGTGATTCAGACATAACTCCACCGCCGACAGACCGTACTTGGAGCCCATCGGCGATTGCTGCTCGTCAACGAGCATTGTTTGCATCTCTAGCAGTTCTTCAGTGCTGCAGCTCTTGTTGAGGAGGGCTGGCAGCATTTCCTTAATGATTGACATTCGTTCCGAGCGTTCCAATCGTGCACGCAGCTCCTCTTTCACGCAACGAAGGTGGAGCAGGCGATTATATTCCTCCTCTTTCTGGGATATTAAATTGTCTAGTACCTTCAGATCCGCAGTGATACTCTCCCGCTCTTCTGAGAATGCTTTCGGTTCTGGGCGAACGGAGTTTACCCTCTCCGTCATGATGGTGTCTATTTCTTCGAAAAGTTCTTTAATGCGATAATGGAAGTTGGCATTACTGTTATTGAGATCAATGTTGGTCTTTTGGCGGGTGCTCGAAGAAGATGGCTGCGGTGATTGCGGCACCTTTGTCTGAGTTGAAACTGTCTCCGAGCGACGTGGTTGGGGCTGCTGGGGTACCACAAAACTTGGGGGAATTGGTGGAGGCAAGTGGGGTTGCACTTGATACGGCATTTGAGGTTGTGGTGTCTGAGTTTCCCTTGGTGAGGCCAACTGCTGAGGCGGAACTTCCCTTGGGGAACTGGCCAACTGTTGAAGTGCACCTGATCTTTGTAGTGCTATCTGCTGTGGTGCAACTGATCTTGGTAGTGTCATCTGCTGTAATGAAGCTGATCTTGAGGGATCTAGCTGCTGCGAAGGAACTAGCTGCAGCGGAGGAACTAGCTGCGGTGGAGGAGCTAGCTGCTGAGGAGGCGCAAGGTTCTGCGGAGGTGGAGCTAGCTGATGCGGAGGAGCTATCTGATGTGGAGGAGCTATCTGCTGTGAAGGACCTGCTTTTGGTGGAGCCATCTGTTGTGGTGGCGCTGATTTTGGTTGAGCCATTTGTTGTGGTGGCGCTGATTTTGGTGGAGCCATCTGTTGTGGTGGAGCTGATCTTGGTGGAGCCATTTGTTGTAACGGAGTCTGACGCGCTGGAGACGTCTGTACTAGATCTTTCAGAGGTGGAACTGCCTTTAATGGAGCAACCTGAGCTGGAAACCTCTGTGCGGAAGCAGCGACCTGGGATATAGCTGCATACGATGTAGCCAATTGGGGTAAAGGTGTCTGCTGATTTGTAAAGTTCTGCATATTGAGCTTTATGTTATTTGGCAGCTTCTCGTTGGAATAGGATATCTCCATTGGAGTTGCTGTCGGTGAAGGAGTATTTAAGCTGTAGGAGACGTTGGCCAAATTGTCATTCTGCTTGGCGGCAGACGAAAGTGCCAAAGAGTACGGTGTGCTAAGTTTAAGATTAGGTTGATTTTGTAGGGGATTAGCAGCTGGAGTGACAGACGTTTGGAGATTTAATGGTGGATCCATCTCTTCTGGTTTGAGTTCCTGCTCCGTTAAGAACTCAATGGTATCATCATCTTCATCCAGATTCTCCACGACATCGGGAATGGGACACTTTTCGGTACTTGTAGGCGGTGTCACTGACCGGCGTCTCTTGAGAGTGGCATTAACAACTAGGGACTCGGCAACCTCTTGCTCATCCTGCTGAACCAACGTCTGATCCTGAAGTGCCTGCTCCAACTCGAGGCTGGCAGAGAGCTTGTCCAAGTCGTAACCCGACTGCTGTGGCTCCTTTTTCTTTAAGAACTCTTCGAGGACAGAGGCACCGTTTTCGTTGCTAGCAGGTGGGTTGGCTTTCAGATTCTCCGGCATATCGTAGTTTATTTGAAGCGGTGCCGCAATCCTAGGTATATTTTCCTTGGTTGGCGTAACCCTTGACCGCTGATTTATCTCTGGTTTCTCAGGGGATTCCTCGTTTTCCGTGTCGTCTAGACAAATGAGTTCCGGCGAACGACTGACACTGCGCCTACTGGAGAAGCTCCGACTGCGACTGCGACTGCGACTACGACTACGACTACGGCTGTGGCTACGGCTACGACTGATGCTCCTGCTGTCGTAGCTCCTACGCCGCCTGGAATAGCGAGCCTCTTGCTGCAATCTGTTCCTTCGTTTGGGCAGCAAATCCATCAGACCCTCAAAATAGGTATTGTAATTTATTTTATTGGGTCGCAGCCTATGATTGATAGGGGCATTTGAGATTTGAAAGGTTTTTTAAATGGATTTTTACTTACCAACGCATGCTACGGCGCTTGAAGTAAAGATTGGGCCAGCGGCGCCGCTGCAATTGCAATTGCCGGATCCGACGAAGAGTTTCGGCCCGAGTGGAAGGCGGTTCCGGTGCGATCTCTGGCATTTCATCCTTGTCTGACGAAACCGGAGGATCTGCTGTTCCATTTCCGGGTTTATCCGATCCGGAATCTTTCAGTTTGGTCTTCTGGGGACGCTGCTTGCTAACCGCCGCGTCCATCAAGGCGTCGTATTCCTCTTCCCCGTGGCTATATTCGTCGCTGCTCAACTGGGAATTGGAGGAGTCGTAGATCTCTACGTTGGACATCGCGGCTGCAATTGGACCGAGTTCAGGTATGTACATCTGGGAACTAACTCCCCAAAACTCACGCGCTCACGTCTGCAAATTTCGCCCAACAAAAAAGCGTCTGCCGGCTGAATTTTTCGTTCCCCCGTGACTCTGCTTTTTGCCGCTGACGAAAACCACTTAAAACCTTGGCCAAAAATCCTAAGAAGTTAAATTCGGGTTTGTCCCAGTTTTTAAGCGAATACTTTCAGCGAAAAACCAATTTCCAATTGCAAAAAAATGAATTTGTCGCTTATTTCGCGAAACAGTTTTGACAGGCATTTAGTATAGACGCAAACCTCAAGTGTTGCCAGGTAGCAGAAGTCTTTGAAAAAATACCTACTTTATATACCGTTTTTCATGAATACCCAACAATTATTTTTAAAAACAAGGGAACCCAATATCACCAGGGGGTGATATCAATCATTTAGGAGCGACATACAAAAAAATTAATTTTTGAATTTTATAATGTATATAAAAAAAATAATATATTTTTTGGCAAAAACAAAAATAAAAATGCAAAATAATCATTATTTTTGATTAAATAAATAATCGTTAGAAATAATGGAAAATAAATTTTAACTCGAAAATTCAGTTTCTCTTTGCTTATTTTAAATGATTTTTTTTTGCATAAAAAGACTCCTAAGGTACTAGCAAAAAATATATTTATATACTCGTACACTTGATATAACCAATACTATAATGTTTTTTATTTTAAAATCAACAATTTAAAGACATTAAATTTAAAAAGTTGGCTTGTACTTGAATTTCGGTATTGGCTAGCCAAACCCCTACATTACATATTCAATGGTTTGTCATCTCGCTTTATAATGCAAACTACTTATCGTAATGGGTTTCATTTTAAGTGTGGTGATATATTGCATTGCAATCAGGGCATTAAACTAATAAATGTATGGTTTTTAACAATTTAAGGCTGTTGAATTTTTTTAATTTAATTAATTTTAATTAACCTAATTGTTTACATTTTCATAGAACAACAGGCAAGAATTTAATAAAGTGCATAGACTTACTTGTTCAAAAGTAAAAAAAAAAATTTTATGAAATTAAAAAAAACTTAATATATTTTTTAATCATAATTCTAAGCATCGTAACTTGGTAATACTGCTGAAAAATACCAACACCAGGAAATACCACGTTTCCTCTTCTTCACCGGTGCAAACGTGATTGCACACAAACGGTCATACCGTTTGGCTTACAAAAGAAAACAAATCAATTCGCACAAAAACATTGCCAAAAAGGTAAATGGCGGGCACGACGGCGCCAAGCTAATAGTATATAGTAGTGTCCAGTGTTTTGCAACTTGTTTCTGCCCAGCGATAATTGTGAGCAAGAACAAGGCCCAGCGGATGGGTGGCTGCTCTGTACATGTACATGCATTACGTACATATGTGTGTACCAGGGAATAACCGATAAGAGAGTGATAGCCCTGCGGGCGGACTTTGTTTTTGATAATAGTGGGTGGCGATGAGATCGCGGATCGTGAATCGCTAAAGCGAGTGATAATCGTAAAGCTATCCACGTCACGCCACACACACTCGCACACGTGGGTCACCTGAGTATATACATATATACATATATATTTATATATACTTATATTTGTGTCTGAGCAAGAACTCTATATATAAAGTGAACGATCGAAAAAGTAAACTAATTTTATGCAAGGGGTTCATCAATCAACGCTGGGTTCACCAATTGAGTGCAACAATAATACAATCAACTTGATTCAGCTGATTTTGGGTTTATATGTATAGGGTTTTTTTGTACTTGCGGTTACTATGGGACTTTGAAAAAGTATCTCTTAATATGACGTTTAATAATTTGTGTCCTTTTAAGCCATTCGTTTCTAATATTATGACTCAATCCATAATGAAGATTTTCCAAATATATTCATTCCAAATTCATAATTAAAAGGTTATAATGTTCCATTACCCTTAACAGATTAATTCAGTTCCTAAAACAAAGAATACTCAATAAATTTTATCTCAAAAATGTTTTAAAATTGTAGTGTTTGGGTTTTAAAGATCAAAAGTTTAACGGTTATTTTCACACACCATAAAAATGGTTGTAAAATATTAAGAGGTTTTTGAAAGACCTCCGTTTACTAAAAGTAGCACTAAAATAACTTCGTTCCCTCCCCATACTAATTAAACACTTTTGTTCCCTATTTAAAATACCCAAAGTGCACATACTTTCAAGATTATTTACTTTCGCGAGCTTCCACCGTGAAGTATCTGCGATGTGCTCTATAATGACTACCCGTCGAACAGCCGGACTTTGTCCACAGCGGCTATAGCTATTTCCAAGGGAGAAGTCATCGATTGCCCGGCGAAGGCTGATTAGATTCCTCCTACGGCTGCCGTTTTAGCAAAAGTTATAGTAGTCCCAATATCTGGGGAATATCTCTGCGGTTCGGTGGTTGCCCCAGTCCGTCGACAGCTGGTGGTGCAGGTGGTTGCCTTCCCGCTTTTCACGCTTTCTTTTAACTTAGCCGCGTGCTTTTGGCCCAAGCTAACTCAACTCGAGTAAGTGCGTTACTTTGTTTAATGGTCATAAACATGGTGTTTCATCCGAGGGTCTATAAAGTGGGGTTTACGAGCACAGCGCTACTAGGGGAACAACATGCAATTAAAATGTTGATTACGTAAAGGTTGCAATTTTATTGGTTACCCATTGCTAATTTTAGATCAAAATGGTGTCGCTGGAGAAGCTGAAACAATTGAGACTGATCCACCTGTGCATCGCGCTCACCTTCTTCACCAGTGGGCTGTGCATCAATTTTATCCAGCTGCTGCTGCACGTGTTTATCAAACCCATAAACAAGCGATTCTTCCGCAAGTTGATGTACTATGCCTGCTATTCGATGTATTCCCGTGAGTATATCCGAAACAGATTGCCGAAAAATGTATTTAACTAAGCTCTTCCTTTAGAAATTATATTCGTTGCCGATTGGTATGCCGGCAGCAAGATGACCGTCTACATGGACAAGGATGACTTTGAAAATTATGCTGGCAAGGAGCATGTCCTTCTACTCATGAACCACAAATACGAGATCGACTGGCTCAACGGCTGGATGATCTGCGATAAACTGGGAGTCCTTGGAAACTGTAAGGCCTATGCTAAGAAGCCTATCCGTTATGTGCCCATCATTGGATGGGGCTGGTGGCTCGCCGAGTTCGTCTTCCTTAACCGCAACTTTGACCAGGACAAGACCATCATCACTGAGCAGCTCAAGGTGGTCTACTCCTATCCCGATCCCACCTGGCTTTTGCTCAACGCGGAGGGCACCCGTTTCACTCCCGCCAAGCACGAGGCATCCGTGAAGTTCGCTCAGGAAAGGGGCATGACGGTGCTGAAGCATCATCTGATCCCACGCACTAAGGGATTCACCGCCAGTTTGGCACCCATCCGGGGTCTTTGTCCCGTCATCTACGACATTAACCTAGCGTACAGGCCAACAGATAAGGTAAATAATATTACGAGCTTTCTAATATCAAGTTTTCTAAACTTAAAACTATATAGTTTAGTTGATTGACTTAAAGATTACATTAAGTAATTCAGAGTTATATAATTACTTATATACTAATACTGTAATATTGTTTTATTAATGCAGAATTTTGCATTGGCCACTTATATATTTTCGATTAGGTTTATCACCCAATTTGATAACGCAGTTGATAGCTTCTCGCTTATCTAATCTTTTTTTAATCTGAATATCTTGTTGCTACCACTTTAAATAATCCTGTCATGTTTTCTCAAGAATGGTTCTTTAAATGATACCGATCAGTTTTGGTAAGATAACATTTCAAGTGAAAGTTAGGTAATATATATATTTATTTGGAAGCTGTTATATAAATGCTTATTTTAACACAAAGCTACACAATAATTTACATAATTGAGTTTAGTTCTTAATTTCTGAAACGAAATTAAATGCATGTCTATTATGTTAATTAAGAGAATAATTTGTACTTAGCAACAAATCTGAATAACTTTTTACTCTAATGATAAGTGCATGAGACTCAGTAAATTGCTATTTATAATGCCTATAAATAATACTTGTGAATTCAGTTAAAGGAGATTATAAAGTTATCGTCGGTTCGTGCAATCGTAAAACTGGCATATAACGTTACTAATAGCGGTGCCCTTTATCTTATATAGTGTTATTTCAAGGTTAAAAACACAATATTATGTTCTTTTTTTAGGTTCCTGCCACCATGCTGAGCCTTCTGCATGGAAAGCCGGTCGAGCCTCATCTTCTTATGAGACGTATCCCCCTGGAACAGGTACCCGAAGACGAGAAGGAGGCCGCCGCCTGGCTGCAGAACCTGTTTGTGGAAAAGGACAAGATCATTGACAGCTTCCTGGAGACGGGCAGCTTCTTCAAGACGTCTGGCATTAAGGAGGTGCCGGCATACGTGAACAAACCCAGGCTGTGTTCGCTGGTCAACTTTGCCTGCTGGGCGACGTTCTCGCTTTTCTGCATTTTCTACTATCTGGTTACTTCCCTGCTGGCGGCCAACTGGACGGCCTTCATCACTGCTCTTTCCGTGCTGGGACTCTGTAAGTTCAGATTGGGCGTTACGGGGATTACCACTTTCCAATCATTTTCTAATTAATTTTCTGGCTTTATTTCAATTTCAGTTTACTGGCTTATGGGTCAGGCCATCAGGAAGACGCAGATTAGCAGGGGATCCAGTTATGGAGCTGGTGGTGCATCCAAGTCGAGCACAAAATAACTTTCGATTTCGCATTTAGTTTCGATTGTCGTCGAACTCAATTATCTACAAGTGACTTTGTCAAGGCAGTCCTCTCGCAAAATCTCTCTGCTAAATGGATCAATTCGCGATTCCTTACCGGACGATTTAAAGTGTTTTTTGAACAGATGTGCATGTTTTTTGTCTAAGTTTATGGTTACGAAGTAACTCCCGCGCACTGGAGCCATCAATTTGCGTACGTAGTTGGTAGTTGTACACTTAAGTGGAAATTTAGTTGTTTGATCAATTGTATTTTGGCGAGCATTGCAATAATTAAATTAAACCGAACGTGAGAAGTTGTTTGTTTCTGATAAGGCAAGCAGTGCGCTGATAAGGGGGTCACAGCTGATGAGTGTGGGCGTTCAAGCAGTGCACCAAAAGAGTGACCCTAACTCAAAATACCAATGGTATTTCTAAAGTTTAAACGTTTATTAGAAAAACGTGGAAATTAAGTTAAAGAATAAATTAAAAATTTAAAATAATTACAATATAATTTTTCAAAAATATAAATATTACGTTTATCGCAATTGTATTGTTATCATTTATCTTGATCACCCTAGCACTAAAATGTACAAAAGTCCTTTGTTTAAGCTTTAATAAATATAATCAACCAGATGCAAGCGTAGAGGAAAATTAACTGCCCTCTATTTAACGATAACATTTACTTCCATATCGTATACAAATAAATTTGTATATATTAGCATGTTGAACACTTTCGGTTGTTTATCAGATTTAACGATCAGAAGCAGCGCACGTTCCGTTAGTTCAACTGCTTGCCCTTAGCTATATAGTACAACCACATTTATTCGGAGATAAGAAGTCCGCCGGGTTTCCTATTGACTGATAACAGGTGATTAATAGTGTTAGTTATAGGGTTCTCGTGTGTATTATCGGCCTATTATATCTCTAGGGGCCCGGACGCCTAGAACAGTCAATTTCATTCAGTCCAATTCTGCTGGTTGGTAGAACAAGTACCAACTTCCTGGTCTCTAGTTTGTTAAGATTGAGCAAAGATAGGTAAGTGTGTGTGTGTTAGTGCAAAAATGAAACAGTATAATTTCGAAAAACTGAACTCAAAGAAAATGTTAAGGATTCTATAACCGGAGGATCATTAATGAAAACCTATTCATCCAAATATGTTATTAATAGACCTTAAATCTAAACAATTTTTCTTATATCACTTTGAGTTTCGACACGAATTTTGTAACAAAATAATTTGAAAATCATTGTGAAAATTGGGGCTATTCATGGGGCTACTCATGGTGAATTTGACATATTATACATACGTTTAACAAATATATAATTCTATCAATGAAAAACTAAAATTCAAAGATAAGGAGTTAAGTGCTCACATAATAGAGTTCTTACTGTACTGATCAGTGTGTTTTCTATGTATGCGTTTACGGTACTATAATTTAAGCAGTTTAATTTTGTCATGACACATTGGGAGCAAAGTTTTAGTGGTGCCATAATTAAGTCGATATCGCGCTGGACATATTTATTAACTGCATTGCAAACAGAAATTTCTAAGTGTATTACGTAAAGCTGACCTTAATTGATTGATTTTATTTAAATGTGCCTATTTTTAGCTTAGGATGTCGCACCTTAGAGGATTGGGGCGCCTGTTGATCGCCGTGACATTCTTCACAGCCGGCTTTATCATCAACATTGGCCAGCTTTTGCTGATCATACTTGTAAGACCCTTTGACAAGCGCCTTTCCCGGAGTCTTGCTTACTACCTACACTACTCTTTCTACTGCAGTAAGTATCGCGAAAAAGCTATGTTCATCATTATCTTACCGTTAAAAAAAATAATTGTATGTAGCAAATTTTTGTCCTGATAAGGAAAAACTGTTACGTCGTACGCCTTATAGAATAAATATAATTCTGATATTTTATTGCTGTAGTTTAAATTGAATTGAAAATTTTGATTTGATTTTGACTATATCGAAAGTTTTTTTTGAAAAAAACGTTTCTTATTATATGTAAGTTAATTTCAATATTGTTCTAAAACCATCGAATTTTAAAACACAATTTCAAAACCATTCTTTCGAAAGTCAAAGTTTTAGCTCTATATATATTTTATGAACGTTTTTAAAAACATTTTCCCTATTTCAGTCTTGGTCTGTGTGGCTGAGTGGTATGCAGGCAGCAAACTTAGGGTCTATATCGATCCAGAGGACGAAGAAAAATTCTTTGGCAAGGAACACGGACTGCTACTCATGAATCACACGTACGAGATTGACTGGCTGACCGCTTGGATGATTACCGACAAGCTGGGAATTCTGGGAGGAACCAAGGCCTATGCCAAGAAGATGCTCCGCTACGTTCCAGTCTTGGGATGGGTATGGTGGATGGCCGAGTTCATCTTCCTGGACCGCAACTTCGAGAAGGACAAGGTGGTGATCAAGACGCAGCTAAAGGAGGTCTTTTCCTATCCGGATCCGGTGTGGCTACTGCTCAATGCTGAGGGCACCCGCTTTACTGCTGCCAAGCACGAGTTGTCCGTGAAATTCGCCCAGGAACGAGGTCTCCCCTTGCTTAAGCATCACTTGGTTCCGCGCACAAAGGGATTCACCACCAGTCTGCCCACCATGCGAGGCATCTGCCCTGCCATCTATGACATTAATCTGGCTTTTAAGCGAAATGCTGAGGTAAGGGTGCCATTTAAAACTTAACTTTCTTAAACTTTCAAGATAAAATATGAACTTAATAATTAACATTTTTTTATTTTCTAGCCAAGACCCACCATGCTATCCCAGTTAAATGGCGAGCCCGTAGAGCCGTACATGTACATTCGTCGAGTGCCACTGGATAAGGTGCCGGATGGTGAGAAGGAAGCCGCCGCCTGGATGCAGGACTTTTATGTAGAGAAGGACAAGATCATCGACAGCTTCCATGAAACCGGTAGCTTCTTCAAAACTTCTGGAATAAAGGAGGTTCCTGAGAAGATCTTCAAGCCGCGCCTATGCACCTTGCTTAACTTTTTGGGCTGGGCCTCTTTTTCTGTCCTCTGCATTTTGAACTATTTGGTCAGCTCCCTTGTTGCGGGCAACTGGATTGGCTTTATCACTGTTTTATCCGTCTTGGGAGGATGTAAGTTAAAAAATGCATATTTTTGAATTTTTGTTATATATTTCATAATTTATTTTCAGTTTATGCCCTCATGGAATACGCTGTTAATGCCTCGAAGATTAGCAAGGCCTCCGCTTATGGGGCTGCTGCTAAGAAATAGACTTTTCTCCCAGAGTTTTGTAAACTCGGCGACATTTTATAATGAGATGGATTACATCTAATTAGTACTCGACTGCAAAACCTTAGAAATAATGTACATAAAGTCAAATGTACAAAGACAAAAATAAAAGTGTTTAAATGAATTGGTTTTACCTTGTGTTTACTGTTTAAAGGCATGATTAGTTAATGAGCTGTAAATATGCGATCTAACCTTGATACGATTGATTGCATCACAAGCTTAAATCGAAATATTTGCGACTACAGCGTAAATCAAGCTAAAAGCATAAGAGATTAAATCCCTTATATAAACTAAGACAGGGGCATTAAATTAATTCAATAAAAATTTATTCATTAACTATATCTCTATGCTACTAATAGATAAAGTACTATAATTTAAGAAATTTATTAAGTTTATAAAAGGGCTTTCATTTTTAAATTAATTTTTACTGGTTTAATATACTAAATTAGTGTATATTCAAGAAATATAAAAAATTCTTTAAAAAACTTTTTTTTAAATATTGATAGTCAACGGGACTACGATAACGGTTTTTCACAATCAGCTGAGAGCATCTAGTAAGACCCTTTACGCAAGCAGTTCAAAACTACATCGGCCATTTTCAGCCAGCCGAATTCAGTATTCCGCCGCTCGTCATCTGCGGTCATACTGATTGCAACTTCCCAATTTTTTACAAAAAAATCCAATGAAAATTAAAAAACATATTTTCGTACCTTTAATGCAATAATATGTGCATTTTGAAGGTGAGTCAGTGCATCGCCAGTGCCGATATCAGCTTTTAAGCGACTCTCCATCGAATTTTGCGAGCAGAGTGAAAAAGTGAAACGTAACGAAAAAAACTTTGGGAGAGAGTTTTGTGGAGTTCAGTGTTTTTCCTGGGGGATACTTGGCATTCAAGGATATGCCCAAAGGATTGGAAACCTACTTGTGAGGTTAAAGAACTATAAATCGCGTAGAATTCTAGTCAAAATTCCCCTTTGTTCGCGATTTAAAAGAAAGCGGATGGCTGATGACGTTGAAAGCGAGTTACGTTTGTGTTTCCCAATTAAAAAGGTTTGCTTGTGTGTGTGATGGGGTCTCCAAGGGGCTCGAAAGGATCTTAAACGATCCACTGAATCCTTAAACTACGGAAAAAGTTCTCCAGGAAGTGCAACTTGGGCATATATATATGCGTTCTATACATATGATATACTTGCATGCGTGTACAAATGCCCCCGCACACGAAGACCAAAGTGTGTGTGTGTAAAGGTGTGCCTGTGTGTGTGAGCGACAGCTGACGTTGGGGTTATTGCAAGAAGAAGAAAAAAACGAAATCGAAACTTTTTTTATTGTGCTACTTTTGGATCGGTGTAAACGGAATATAACTCCATCTTGACTCACGTCACTTGTAATTTTACATCACTTCTGCAATACCATACATTTTTAGGCCTTGTACCTACCGTTGTCACATTTATGATTATTCTTCATTTATTCTTTCTAAAAAAAATAAGGCTTTTTATTTGAAGTTTAAGTTATCCATATAAGGCCATTTGGATCTCAATATCACTTAGAAACGATTTTTTTTGATCTACCATCTTACATCCTTTAGGTACTAGTTGCCTAAATCTATCCACCTATAAGATACATTAGATAGTATGAATTTATTGTCATTATAAAAAAAACCTGTATTTATTACTTAACTCATTAGAATTTAAAATGATTTTATCTTAATTTTATTAATTTAAAAAGCTTGAATACTTGCAAATATTTTTTGTAAAAAATAAAAGGTTTACAAAGTGATAATCTTAATCTTGTAAACAACCATTTTTTTAAGGATTACTGTTTAGTTCATAATAATTTTATATCTCTAAGGTGACTACTTAACTTCGTTACCGGCAGTTGATGTTCCTTTTCCTTTGGCTTAATCATTTTAATTAATGTTTTATGGTTGTTATATTCACAGCATGCCGATTCAGGCTCCCTCATGGACAGATTTTCTGAACTGTCCCATCTGCTGCAATGAATTCGCGGCTAGCCAGCGATGCCCGGTCAGTCTGGGCTGCGGGCACACCATCTGCAAGCTATGCCTGACGACCCTCTACAACCGGCAGTGTCCCTTTGATCAGGTGAGTTCGGCTTTACCCTTATTCAAAATCTCCAATCCTACATTCTATTTCTTCCACCTGTTTCACAGACCGTGATTGTCAGTGAGATCGACAATCTGCCCATTAACCATGCTTTGCTCCAGTTGGTCAAGGACTCGGAGCTCCTGGAGCTGGGACCACCACCGCCCAGTGTGCAGAAACTTGAGTCGGAGAACCTCAAGTGCTACCAGCTGGGTCAGCGATGCATCGAGGAGCTGGCCTTGCACTTGAAGTCCTTCCTCAACCTGAACGGAAACGGCAATCTCCTAACTCGACCCATGCAACGGAAACTGGTTACCCTGGTCAACTGCCAGCTGATGGAGGAGGAGGGACGGGTTAGGGCCCTTCGGGCAGCCAGATCACTGGGCGAACGCACAGTCACCGAGCTGATTCTGCAGCACCAGAATCCCCAGCAGCTAAGCTCAAATCTGTGGGCGGCGGTGCGGACGAGAGGATGTCAGTTCCTTGGACCGGCCATGCAGGAGGAGGTGCTTAAACTGGTGCTCCTGGCGCTGGAGGAGGGATCGGCCTTGTCCCGCAAAGTGCTGGTCATGTTCGTGGTGCAGCGATTGGAACCACAGTTTCCGCAGGCCTCCAAGACGAGTATAGGACATGTAGTGCAGCTACTCTATCGAGCCAGCTGCTTCAAGGTGTCCAAACGGGAGGCAGACTCATCGCTGATGCAGCTTAAGGAGGAATTCCGCACCTACGACGCCCTGCGCCGCGAACACGATGCCCAGATCGTCCAGATAGCTACCGAGGCGGGTCTGCGGATTGCCCCGGAACAATGGTCTTCCCTGCTGTACGGCGACGTGATGCATAAGAGCCACATGCAGAGCATCATCGACAAGCTACAGACTCCCAGTTCCTTTGCCCAATCAGTTCAGGAACTAGTCATCGCCCTGCAGCGGACTAGTGATCCTGCGAAGCTGGCCAGTCTGCATCACCACCTCAAGTACCTGGCTAACATCGATCCCTGTGCGGAGGTGGCTCCCTGGCCGGATTTGGCTGAGGCCCTGGATGCAGTCCGCCACTCGGTTGTGGGACTGGTGAACTTTCTTCAGCACCATGGCGTGCGCAAGGCGCAGGACGGCATCAGTGGCGGTGGCAGTGGTGGCACAGCGAATAGCAATCCCAAGTACAAGATCAGCCTGTGCAGGGACTTGAATGTGCGAAGGGTGTGTCCCAGAGGTGCTAGCTGTACCTTTGCCCACTCCCAGGAGGAAGTAGAGCGCTATCGGGCCCGAAACCGTGGTAAGCATTTGAAGACACCACTAACCCTGCAGGGACCACCATCCATGGTCGGTGGAGCCATCAAAAAGCCACTAGGAGAGCAAGATGGACCAGTCTTGGGTGGGCCGCCAATCCTACCAATGTCACCCATGCACTATATGGGTTCTCCCAGGAGTTATCTGGAGCCCAGTTTGGGTCTATCGCCAGGAGGACTGCCACCGCAGCAGCCGCCACAACCGCTGCTCCATCCCTCGCATCACAGTCCCATTGCCCGACTTATGGTGCCCGGTCGCTATGATCCTCGCTTCACCGGCTACGGCGTTGGTCAGGCGCGGAATCCTACGCCCAGAGAGTACCAAAACAATCCGGGAGCTCCGCCACAACGCAATGCCAACCCACCGAACTTCAGTGTGAACAGCAACGTGCACAAGGGCTTTATGGTGCCCGGCGGCGGCGGGGATGTCTTCCATTTGGGCAATCCATGGGAGCATGCCTACATGGCTCAGCAGCAGCAGCATCCTCCACAGCATCCCCCACAGCAGCAGCCACCGTCCAGCAAGCCGAATCCCAGCCGACCGTTGTCGATTTTAGCCGCAACAGCTGATACCTCATTTTATGAAAAGAAACCGCCGAATAGTGTTAACATAGATCTGGATAGAGTTCCAGAGACCGATGTGGATGCACTGCCTCTGTTCCGGCGATCCAACAACAATCACAATAACAACAACAACAATAGCAGCTCCAACAACAATAACAATAATCATAGCTCGTCGCTGCTGTTCTGGAATAATTCGGGCAAAGAGTCGGCGAACTTTGTGCGATCGGATTCCATATTGGATGACGATGCATCCACATTTGATGTGCCCACCGGCTCCTCCATGCTAAGTCGCTACGGTCCAATTTGTCCCAAGAGCAGCACAGGCAGCAACTGGAACAACTGGCTGCTGGAGAACGACAGTGATCTGGGATATGGGGGCTACAAGAGCGACAGGAACGATAACTTCAATACCAATAAGGTAGGTGTGGTTTATTATGGTCCAATAATCGGGGTGTGAATATTTATTTATATTTCTGTAATCTATTCGTTTTATGGTTTACGGGCCTGGTCACAAGCACACCCTAAATTCCTATAGATAAACGACTTCTTTTTGAGCTGTCATTGAACACTGGAAGTACTTAGCATTTTAGGATTTAGCTGACTATCAGTTTTTTAATCTTTTGTATTTTTTATCTTCCCAAAAAACAGCAGCAGCAGCCAATGTGGGGCAGAAAGCCACAGCTGATGTCAGAGGATAGTTTCGAGGGCGGCATCGACAGTGGGATGATGCTGCAGTTGGAGAAGAACCTGGTGGACATCGTTGATCCCGATGACAGTGGGATCAAGGTGGACTAGCTGCCAACCGGCTCACTCAGCCACAGGATATTTCTATATAGGTGTTTATATAGATCGAATGGGAGGGAAGATAATATGTATAATGCAATCATTTTACACATCGTTAGAGGTTTGTACCGCACAGTTCAAACTTTGGTAGAATTTCAAATGTAATTGTAGTTAAAACTGATCCGACTGATCCGTTATTGGATCGGAGCCAAAACAAAACATCAATTGGGTTGGGTACCGTCTATTAGAATCTATTAAATAATTGTCTACTTAGTTCATTGTTCAAATTTTGTGGAAATGTGTTTAACCATGTTCGTGTTATGTTTCAAATTTGGGGATTGTGTCTAGCAATTGAAAAAAAAAAACTAAAAGCAAAGAAAAACAAATTCAACTTAGATCGTAAAACTTTGTGTCTAGCTTAGAATTGAGCTCAGACTCGTAGATCTGCTATAAATACAATCCGTAGAAACCCTTAAAAATGGTGATCAGAGGGATGAGGATGAGATATGCAAACGCTTGTTGAGATCAGGCAACATCCAGATTTGTATGGCAGCAAAGATTTTAAAGCAATTTTCTCAGAAGAAATAGAAGCTGTGGACTAATTAACTGAATCATGATCACAAGACTTCGAGATCTAAGTAAAACTCAAATTTCTAACCAAAATCGTGTGTATCATCCCCCTCATTATTTGTGATCAAATTTTGATTGATTGTGTAACGCTGTATACATAGATATAAACATATATATTTTTTTTAATTATAAACTATTTCAAAACGCTATTTTTATATATACAAAAATCAGCAGGGCCGAAAGGACCTGAAAATCCTTTCGCTCTCAAAACACAATCACACACATACACTAACACGCATACACACTGAGCCACGGGACACGAACGATCATTTCTATGTGTGTGAAATGAATGTTTATATTTCTTAAAGAAATTTTAATAACGCTATTGTGCGATGTTGTTAACTATTGTACTATATATTATTAAATTTATTGAAAATAAATTAAAATCACGTCCCCTTCTCCCTTTTTGTAAACTGTGAGAAAAGTAAAGTAAAGAAAAATTGACGAAAAGAAAAGTTAAATGTCAGTCAGGGCTTTGAGAACATTTACACATACCTACTCTATGCAAATATAAATTTATATTTATATCTAGAAACTAACCAATTTGTGCGCTCTATTATTAATATTATATATTAATGTCAGTTGAGCCCGCGTTTTGCTTTCAAGACTTTGTGCATCATTTTGATTTAAAGCAAAAATGAAAGATTTTGTAACTTGTATTTGTTAAGCGATGAAATCAGGAACCTTATATATTACTGCGCTTGATCATAGAAGAATATAACATATATATCTTTACAAATATATTTATTGTTAATGAGTTTCGATGCCGTGTGTGTAGTAGAATCCATGTAAAAATATATTCCCCGCCCCCGGGGAGTACGTGTTCAGTTGTGAGCTAGATAAAATTGATCGAAACAATTTTAAACAAAAACATACATTTAAATGTAATTTCCTATTACTCAGAAACTAAAGCATTCAATGTATAGAAGCGAAACAGGGGAGGTAATTGAGATTTCTTCAATCTATTTGTCTCCTGTGAAATGTGAAAATATAGAAGAAGGCTGGGTGGAGAGGCGTCTAACTGCGTACTTAAGTCCCGATTTAGATTCAGATTCAGATCCAGATTAAGCGTCCTCCGCCCGGCCTTTGGCTGTGGTGAAGTTTTTTTTTAGCTTAAACCCAATGGGTTCAGTTCATAATAACGTATTTGTTGAGTTGAGTTTTGTAACTTTATAATTTACAATCAGTCCAGCAACCCGCCAAACCCTCAAAACTCCAAAACTTCAAAACTGACCGAGGCTCTTTTTTATACAGATCGTGCCGAGCAATTCACACGTACACACAGACATTTTCTATTTACACACACTTATTTAAATGCATATATATTTATACATATGTTAATTAAATGTATTTTTGGTATTATCACTCAATGTTTCTACCCTAAGCAAATTTCAAGTTCTGTTAATCAAAGTGGAAAAAAATATAAAAAAAATTATTTATTTTATTTACAAATAAATTTTCACAAAACTTTTAGTTGTTTCGGTTTTTATTTCTACCATTATTTTAAGTTTGAGATGAAAGATAATGTGCGAAACATATCAAAGCGTTGAAAAGCGAAGAAAGCAACCGAGAAACTTAAAAAATAACCACCAGCAAAGTATAAGGAACTAAGAACACCAACAGCAACCACCAGATAGGAAATTGAATGGAATACAATACGAGATCCTATAGTTAACACAACTAGATACAGACAATCCGCTTAAATTAAGAGATAAACGTAAACTATGGTACGATTATAGGCGCTTCTGTTCCTCAACTTAGGGTTAGTGATGATGTTGAACGACCAAGGTCGAATAGATACGTACAGACGATTTTGCAGTAGCTCAGATCCAATAAGTCTATTAAAACCTGCCAGGAAACCGCTTGTCGAACCACCCAAAAACATCCTTGATAGAACTGCACTGCAATAGAATAAGTAGATAGCCAGGGGACTCTCTTTCAGCGCATCAAATGTGTTATGGCGAGGACAATACAATACTCTCAATTTTAATTGTACATCCCATTCCAAAGTCGAAGCTCAACAGAGTATGCTCCCTGTAAGGTCAAAGGTCCCGACTCTGCAAACGAATTGTTGCTGTTTTTGGTGTAATTTATAAGTTGAAGATCCTTGAATTGTGATGATGAGAAATTTACAGTTAACATGCGAAACTAATCCCAGTTCAATGGGAACGAACAAATGTCTTTATATTAAATGCTAATTAAAACTAACTATATACGAGTATAATAATGTATCTAAATACACACACCACCCAAATTGGAAGTATAAATCAGAGAGGCGTATATTGTATCATAGAACTATGTAAGCAGAGATTGTATTTTACATGCATTCTAGGGCTAAAAAAGCTAAAGTCTCCCAACAAATGGGAGACGTGTTTCTTCTTCAACCGATATCCAAAATACCTTTGGGTCTAGGTCCATGTTTATGGTATCCCAGAAAAGAAGAAATTTAATATTTATATCCGCTTGTCCATTCCTCGTAATCATGTATAATAATTCTAGTTGCTATTAGTTTAAACATTCTTTTTATTCCGATTTTAACGCTGCTGGCAGCTTGAAAATTGGCAACTATAAGTAATAACCATTTAGTTCCCTTACTGTATTCCAGATACCTGATCGAAAAACCACTTTCAAAGTTTAATTTGAGTATTAATTGTTAACTCTTCCAGATTATTCCCATAAACTCTAAATTCATTTTCTAGGGTATCAAAAGTTTCGGAGTACCGAAAGCCGACATCTCTTCTAGTTTTGTGGAATGTTAACCGATAATGTATGTTCTTGGATGTGCTGAATATGTATATTTATCTTCAAAATTCATTGTAAATGTTAGATATTGAAAACCAAAAAAAAAATAAGAAAATTAAAACCAAACTCAATTTTGTGTGTGTATGCCTGAAATTTAAATAAAAGAAACTTAATCGAATTCTTTAAATCAATTGGATATGACTAGATATGGTTCTGATTGCTTTGGCAATCTGATCTGTTCTTGCGGTTATTGTGGGTTTGGAAAGGAAAGCTTAAGCAATTTTATTTATTAATCACTTAAAACAGCAATCGAATATGCAAGCTAATTTTCCCAAAAAAATTTCCTTTCATACAATCAAAAGCTGACGATTGAACCTTAAGTTTTTGGTATTATCTTATTTGGAGGCTGAGATTTTAAAAAATCTTCTGTAGAAAGGTAACTTTTCATTTAGTGCTAATTATACTTTATGAATAGTATAAGATTGTTTTATACTATAAAGTAGTAAAGCTTCTTAAATTATATTAATTATGTTGTTCTATTTTTAGAGTGAAGTTTTAGACTGCCAAAATCAAATTGAGTGAAACTAATAGCAATAACGATAACTTGATGTAGTATTGTTCGCTCGGCAATCTAATCTATTCTGCGGTCCATGTGGTCTTATTAAGTATAGAACAAGCTTGATTAAATTTTTATTTAAAGATCACCAACAAACTGAAAGAGATTACATATTTAAGTGTATATACATTAGAAGCAATAACAATGAAAAACTAATCGCTCAGCTGGGGCTTCCACATGACTGGCATATCCACCTCTTGAGATTCACCCAACTCCAGCATTAGAACTGCTCCATTTTGGGCCGTCTCTATAGCTCGTACCAAATTCCTAGCGCAGTCCTCCGGTTTCTGCCGCTGAATTTTGTTGAACATAGCCACCATGGGAGTTTCGTAAGTGAATGTTGTCTTGCTACCAATATCCTCTAAAAGTCCAGTATCCGTAAATCCCGGACAGATTGTAATGAAGCCAACGCCAGAGTGAGCGTAATAAATGGGGTTCTAAAAAGGTTGAAATATTATTAAAATGTAAATAACATAGGTTATTCTTCAACTCAATTCATATTAATTTTGAATATTAATATTTATCTTGCAAACTAATTTGGTTTCACATTGCTTAAAAGGTCAACACATTAATAAATACAAAACAAAATCTTATAGTTCTATCTAGTGGAAAACTCATTACTTACAGCCATTGCCCTAGTAAAAGTGGTAAGACCCGTCTTGGCCGCCGAATAAATGGCCATTAAAGCCGTGGGCTGGAGTCCGGCCACCGAGGATATATTTACTATGAGTCCACCTCTACCACCTTTCGCCTTATCCATGTACTCCAAGGCGGTCAAAGTGCTGTTGATTACTCCCAGCTTTGGGAAAGATAAATAAGTAAAGCTTTTGTCATGTAAAATAAGCTCATCCACTCCCTTACCAGGTTAATTTGAATAGTCAGTTCGATTAGACGATCGTTCATTAGTCCACTGCCATTGACGACCACGTCGAAGTGACCCAATCTCTCGGCGGTTGCCTTATAAGCCGCCTCTATATCCGACTTCTGGGTGATGTCCAGTTTTTGGTAGAAAATATCCGTGTTGGGGTTCTTGTTTTTCCACTCAGCCAAGACCGCGGCATTCTCAACCAAATCAAAAATGGCTAGAGCCTAATGAAGATAATTAGTTTTTATTTTGTTTGTTGCTTGGAGGAAAACCCACCTTTATTTGCCGTTGCAGAAGTTCTTGCACACATTTCTGGCCTATACCGCCGAATCCACCAAGGTAAACCACATTTTTGCCGGTCAAATCCATGTCGCTCTGTTGAAATTGATTTGCTCTACCAGATTCCGTGCAATTCAGTCGGCGGCAAGTGGCAAACTGATTATTGTTAGAGTTTTCGATCCCTTGTCCATACGATCTGAAAAGTGCTAACGACCCTCTTGCTACTGCTCTCCAAAGCTTTTTGGGATACTTTGCTCTCGGAGAGCAAATTAAATAATATTCTTTCAATTATAACTGTATAAGCTTAGTAGTGCTGGCAATATGACTTTTTTTCTTGGGTTAACTATTTTAGATCATTTAATCGTCTTTAACTTACGACATTTTTAATACGATATTAGGTACAATTTATATTTCTTGAATTATACAAGAATTATTGGTCATAATTAAATGAATAATTTAATTAAGATTATTTGTGTCGTGATCTAAGTATTGGTTAAAACAGCAGCACTGATGTGAGCCGCTAATTAATACATGCATGTATGTATAAATTATAATAGTTAGTATTACTGCGCATTTTAAAATGATTAACATGAGTTAAATTGCAAAAAAATGGAAAAGCAAAGTTTTTTTTATCTCGTCCACAAACGACGTTATCACAAACTTTATCATAAACATTTTATTGTGACTGGACTTTTTTTTACCAAACTTTTTGAGTAATATGATGATGATAAATTCCTCTACACAAAACTGAGTGATACGTATTCAAATAAAAACTGATATTTGTAATATTACTCCCTATATACAAAGAGCCACTTATTTAAGCACTTCACGTATCTGTGTCAGCCAGGCGTTATTGAAACCTTTGAGTAATCGAAGATGGCTGTTTATCCCGTAAATGCAACAAATCGACTTCCCCCATTTGTTTTCCGCCCGAATCCAGGTTGCGGTTGCCACATCCGTGGAGACACAGATCTTTGCTGGAAGTGTCGCCCAATTGCGCAACCAATGGATCCGTGTCTCAATATTAAGTTCACTATTGCAACATCCGTGCGGTAGCGAACCGGCAGCCCCAAAAGCAATCGACACCAATCGGATCGTGGCGGATCGACTTGCGGATTTCGAGGTCATTGTGCAGACTGGGCGGTGGGTGGCGCCTCGAATTACCATTACCCGCAGGTGGTATAAAACACCCACCGAAGACTAACTGCAGCATCAGTTCCACAAGAGCAATCAGAAGAAGAGGATGCACTGCTTCACTTGGACGATTCTAGCCGGCCTGTTGGCCCTCACCTCAGCTGCTGGATTGCCCCAGAGGGCGAGCAGTGGTTACCAGGAGCAGGACACGGCCAGAGCCTTCTACTCCTACGGCTATAGTGACGACAACGCGGCCAGGGCGGAATACTCCTCAAGAGATGGCACCTCCCGTGGCTTCTACTCCTACGTGGATGCCGACGGCAAACTGCAAACTGTTCGATATGAGGCCAATGGCATTCAGGGTTTCAAGGCCGAGGCGAGTAACCAACCTCAAGCTCCCGTGGATGAGGGCAAGGCTCCACTGCCAGTAACCGATACGGAGGAAGTGCAGCAGGCTCGTCTGTCCCACCTCAATGCTCTGAGGGAAGCGCGGGAGAAAGCTTTGGCTACCAGTTTGCGTGAGGAGGCGGACAGAAGACAGCTGCAGGATCAGAACAGGAACAACGGGGAGGATCAGCAGTCGGGAGAGCAGAGCCTGACCGATGAGGATGCGGCGATCTTGGAGAGGGTTAGAGCCGAGCTCTCAGCTATGTTGGCCGATCGTCAGCGATCGAGCAATCTTCCCAGGAACAGGGAAGATCAGGAACTGCGACAGGAGCAGGATATCCGACTTGAACAGAGACAGGAGCAAAGGCTGGATCAGAGACAGGAGCAGAGGTTGGATCAGAGACAGGACCAGAGGCTGGATCAAAGGCAGGAGCAGCGACAGGATCTGAGGCAGGAGCAAAGGCAAGATCAGCGAGAAGATCGCCGAAAAGATCAGCGAGAAGATCGTCGACAAGATCAACGAGATGATCGTCGACAAGATCAAGGAGAAGATCGGCGACAGGATCAACGAGAAGAACGGCGACAAGATCAACGAGAAGATCGCCGACCAGATCAGCGAGAAGATCGGCGAGAAGATCAACGTGAAGATCGGCGACAAGAGCCAAGGCAGGATCAAGAATCCCGGCAAGATCAGCGTCAAAATCAACGGCAAGATCAGTCCCGAAACCAAGAAACCTTACGAGAATTGATTAACAACCGGGAGAATGATCGTCAGATCGATCGTCAAAGCTCACAGCTTCTCCAACTGCCGATATCCTCCGATCGTGATGCGGATGATGTACGCCTGCGCACTGTTTACTCCCTGGCCGATCTCAGTTCCAGCAGCTACCTGAAACTCGGCGACTTGGCCAGTACCGAGAAACTGCTCGAGGATCGCTTGGACAGCAGTGATCTTCGTGTGCCGATCAGTGCCTACTACACCCTGGTTTCCCCCAACACCAAGTATAGCGTGACCACGCCCACGGAGCTGAGAACCCTTCGTCCAGTGGCCCTCAGTCGCAGTTTGTTGGTAAGCAAACGCACCTGAAGGATCGATGCTACGGATGGTGGAGATGGATCAAGGCCGGCTTATGATCGTGGAATAGAATGAGGTGTACCTATGACGTGTTTCCTAAGAATAAATGCAAGACAGAGCACCATTGTGCCAAACTTAAATTTTCTTTTTATTTTCCAAGTGTGGGTTTCGTTGTGAAAAAGTAGTTAAACGTTTGATTTTTATTGTCAAGAAAAAAAGATGATTCTAGGAAAAAAGTTCCAAAAGGGATAAGTAAACTACTAGAGTCATCAAATCGTGTTTTGACATATCGAAGAAAATAGATTTTGTAAAGTATAAAAATTAAATTCATAGAACAAATAAAATATATTGATTTTCAATTTAAGTTTGCATCATTTATTGCTCAACAATTAACAGAATTTTTCACAGAAGTTGAATCTCAAGATTAGGCCAATGGCAGGTAGTTTCTGGAGGGAACTTGAGCCTGGGTCTTGGCCTGATAGTTGTAGACGAATCCTGTGGTGGGCTGGTAGACATATATCGGCTGGGAGCGAACGGCGATGGAAGATGGAGGTGCTAGCACCACGACCTTCTTCTCGGCGAGCAATTGATTGCGCAGCTTCTCGGCTTCGAAACGCTTGAAGAACGCCACCTTGGCAGCAGCTACCTCGGGAGTATCCTGAACGGGCTGAGGACCGACGGAGGAGTCGCCGGCTAACCTCAACTTGGCCTGGTTATGGGCTTCCAGATGCTGAGCCCGGAGAGCAGCCACCTCCGGTGTTTCCCGATTGGCCTGCTGGTTGGGCAGATTGGAGGTCACATGGAAACCCTCGGCATCGGCGATGTAGTCCACAGTCTGGGTTTCACCATGGGCATCCACATAGGAGAAGGTTCCCCGGATCACACCATCCAACGTGCGGGTTTCGTGCTTGGAGTACAGTGGAGCCATGTAACCGTATGCATACTGACCATGCTCATCCTGGGTGTGATACTGACTGATCGTATCCGAACTTGGTGGTGCTCCATACTCCAAGGTCGGTGATCCTGTGGCCAAAACAATGGTGGTGAAAATCAGACAAAGATTGAGGAACTGCATCTTCTTAAGCGTGATATTTGTGTATTTCTTTTAATGGGAATCGATTTAAGGCGCTGCTAGTGTGGTCGACTAGTACTCGCTCTAGAGAACTCTGTGCTGGGATCGGTTGGGGATTCTGCTTTTTATAGGCGGCGCCTCCTGCCCAAAATTTACAATTTCGTGCGTTCTCAGGAAGGTCGTCCGGTTGGGTTTTACTTTCATATTCCACCAGCCTGGATTATTGTTCCTTTTTCCTCTTCCTCTGCTTCCTCACATTTTCGTACATAAATATTTTGTCGATTTCGATTTCAACAAGTTCAGCATAAATTTGAGCACAAAAGCCGCAATTTGTTTTCATCTGTGGCAGGGGCAACAACACGTCCCGTATCGTATCGTATTGTATCGGATGTGGACATGCTCGGAGACAACCAACAACGTTCCGCAATGCCGCAATGCAAGAACTTAATCAGGCTGCTTTTCAGTGAGTCTGGATGTGCACTGAAAGAAATAGAACCACAGAAAAAAGCCTATACATTCGTTCATACTTATTGAATGCAAAGAATATTGTTTTATGAAGTGAACTTTTTTCGCAGCATTGATTAGAAAATATTTAGTTTTTATTTTTAGAGAATATAATGTTTTTTTTTTGTATTTTTAAACAAAAGAATAACTACTAGAAATGTAAATGCATTATATTTCCAGAAGAAATTTACAAGTATTTTCTCTCAGTGTAAGCCTGGGATTGTCGAAGAGGGGTCAAGGAACCGGGTTGGGCTATAGGACATGCCGGCTACCATTTCCAGTTTCAGTTATTTCGGTTGTTGCCTTTATGCTGCTATTAAATTTAATTGAAATCAAAATTCGCCTTACATTTATGAAGAATTTATGCTGTATGCGGTATGTGATGGGTTGGACTGGGGCCAAAAGGTTGAGGTAGGACAGGGTCTTAGTGAGCGGGTTCCGGTCCTGGGGTTAGGCTGCCAAAGGGTTAAGTTCAACCGGATTCTGATGCTCAGGTAAAACCAATTTAATACAAAGTATCTTCCACCTAAGGGCTTGATACTAACAAATGAAATTAAACGTTAAGGGATTTTAAGAAATTTGATTAGCAAGGCATTAAAATGTTAAAATAAAGCTGCAAACAATGTGTTTAAGGCTTGAGAGATTTCTAGGCCAGTTTAAGAAGGTTTTAATTTAAATTGAATTCCAGAATAAAATTCAATTGAAGACCCAAACAAAAACCCCACAGACTGATTGACAATTTTTATTTAAATTCGAAGTTCTTTTAAATGTTGATTTAAATCGGGTGAAGACTGCATCCCCTCAGTAGTAGAAACCAGGGGTGTAGTACCGGGGAATGGTGTATCCGTAGACAGGAGCAGGAACCACCACATGGTGGCTTCTGGCCACTGGGATTGGAACCTTGGCCAGCAGCTGGTTGCGGACACCCTCATCCTCGACGCGTTTCAGGTGCAGAGATTTGGCCGCCGCCACTTCCACGGTGTCAGCAACGGGATGAGGCAATTGGACATGGCCACCAGGAGATCCGGATACGGGTACGGAGTGGTCGTGATGCTCCACTGGATGGTGTCCCTCGGGCTGAACACTTCGGGCGCTCTCCACCACAGTCGGGTGGTGAATCTCAACGGGATGCTGGCCAACTGGATGCGGAATGACAGGATGTGGCACCACCGCGGGATGCTCCACAGGATGTTCCACCGGATGCGACGCACTTCTGGGACCAATTCCAAGCGACTCCTGGGGCACTATGGCCTTTGGCAGATTAGTGGCTGCCACATGGAAACCTTCGTTGTCGGCCAAATAGTTAACGGTCTGGAGTTTTCCCTCGGCATCCACGTAGCTATAGGTTCCTTGAGTGGTTCCGTCAATGGTGCGGGTCTCCTGCTTGCTGGACAACGGTTCCGAGTAGCCATAGGCGTACTGACCAAACCGATCCTTGGCGATATACTGCCGCTGGGTGGGCGTGAACACGGCGGTTCCCTCGGCGGAGTACGCATACGGATAGTAAAGGGCCAGGCCGTGGGCCAAACTCAGGCTTCCCAATAACAGAAGTGGATACTTCATGGTTGAGCAATAGAGGATTCCTGCAGGTGAGTCTTGTTCGTAAGTTCACCGGTAACTGTTGGTTCTGAGCCTAGCTCTTCATCCTTTTATACCCAGCAGGTTCTTGTGCATGTTCTAGGTCTGGTTTTGACCGAGGTTCTTGGCGGCCAGCTCCTGCTGTCCCTGCTGATTCTAGTATTCTTCAACACTCGGAAAAAATGCATTGATTACCATTTAAAAAAGAAATTATATTGTATTCCAATCTTTTATATCCAATGGCAACCTAGCTTAGGATCAGTTTTGTAACTAAGCAGTTTTTGTATAAATTATTGAAATAAAAAAGTAGATATAATTATGACAATCGTTAGACCATTTATAAAATAAATGATTTAAATTGTGAATGTTTTAAAATTTAACGTTTTTTAAAATTGATACATTTTTTTCAGAACCTTAAGTTCTCAAATTTTAAAAGCGGAAGATATGATTTTAAATTTAATATCCTCAGAATTTTATCATATTTTAATCCGGTTTCTGAAATGTACTGAAAAAGTTTTAAAATGTTAAATATGTATCTACTCTATTTATAGTATTTATGATTATAGATGAGTTAGTAAAATGTTGAAATAAACATTAATAATTGATTATTAAGTGGTTTTAATTTTTTCTCCAAATGTATCCATCAGATGCACTTCAATGCAAACGAGGCGATAGCGTTGTCTTGTCCACTTGTGTCGTTAACGGACATTGCAGCTCCGCCTTTCACTCCCCCTTTTGGGATCGCCTCCTCCTGAAGGCGGTGTCAATTTGCTTTAATTGTGGCCAAGGCTGGAGTGGGCTCAAATGAGGGAGGATGAGGCATCTCCTCCGCTGGTGGAGCAATCGCTGCCTGCCATCTGCATCTGCATCCGAATCAAGGGCCTTGACTGGGAGTACCATCAAGGCCAAAGACCGCATCCAGCCCAGCGTGTAATTGATATGCAATTGTTGATGCTGCCGCCGCATTGTGGCATCTCAGCCTCCTTTTTGTGTCCGCACGCTGCAACGGGGCCACGACAACAACATCAACAACTGTGGCAACAACCGGCGACGACAACAACGGCATCTCAAGGTGAGTGAAGGCCAAGGGCCACATTTGGCCCCAACTTGGACACTGGAGTCCTGAGTTTCAGTGGCGACAGCAATGGGGGTTTTTTTGGGTCTTCAGCTCAACCGAAATTTGGGTTGTTACTGAAAAATCTTAGGATTTCTTTCCTTCTATGCGTAATGTATTTAAGAGCGAATTCTTGAAAAGGAGGATTAAAATTAACAGCTTAAATAACTATTATCAAATACTAGAACATGAAAATGATTGAACTAATTTGTATGATATACAAACACTCTAAAAAAAAATTCCAATAAAATAATTAAGCGTGCCAAATTAGATTAAATTAATTAAATAAAGTTTATGTGGATAATCAAATTATATGTAGGCAGCTTGTAATAACAGCAAATAAACCCCCCTAGAAATATGCCCTAAGTCCGCCCCTGATGCATCTGCAGCTGCATTGGTATCTCCTGCTCCTCCTTCGCTTGGGTTTTATTTTTAGCCGCGGCTTTATCGGATGCCGCAGATCTGTGGTGCTTAAACTTCGCTCCCGATTAGGAGGAGGAGCAGCTGCAAGAACCACATTGGCCTTGACGGACCCGGCTGATAAGTGCGTTTTAATGTTAGCCCCGTTGGCACTTAGTTTCAATCAAAGCCCAATTCTCGCCATTCCTGCCAGCCTTAATGATCTCGTTAGTTCTGGCCTGGAATTGAAGTCGGATTGGCTATCTGGTCTGGTTTACCTGGTGCCATTCCTTGGCCCCCTGGCGTGGGCTGTTCACTGATTTGTGAACCATCATCTGGTCTTTGGACTGCCTCTCACTTCGCGGCTAATTAGAGTTGTACTAAAGATAGGCTAGGTGGCAAGACTCTTGTTTGTATTTATTGGGCTCTGTTTTTATGCCTTCGAAAGAGCCTTTCATTAACATGGGATAGAATTAATTTAATGTCTTTGTTTTATATTCGTAGATAGTTATTTCTTTGCAATTAAAGTTAATTTAAACTTGTATGTTAACTTGTAAATTAATAATAATACTGATATTAAAAATCAAGCTTTTAAAATTGTTTATTAAATTTAATAACTAGGCATAAAACATAAATGTTAAATTCTATTTTCTAAATTATTATAGATCTTAATTAATAGTCTCCCCAGGGTATTCAAGCTCCGTTTGCCAAGTTAGTCTTATATTCTTTGTATTCTACTTTTGGGCCAGAACTATGACTTCATCATGTGGCCCGTGGTTAACAAAACTAACCAAATAGCTCTGACAGTCAGTTCCCATAAATCAATGTCAAACGTTTCTTTTCGTTTAAGGTTTGTTTTGGGTTTTGGTCCGTGGTTTGTTATTTCAGATTGTGTTTAATCATTTTATCGTGTGCGAAGCAATTTCCTTATGATTTCCTTTTGACTTTTACTTTTTCCTGATTGCCCAAAATAGAAAGGTTCAGAGAACCCATTTACCACATAAGCCGGCTAACAAAACTTAATCGCTGGAAAACCTCGAAACAAAAACTCATTTGAATACTTAAGCATGAGCTCACTGGTTAGTATAGCCCTAGTCACACCCCCTAAACACCTCGAAGTACTATGTAGACCCCCTACCCCTCATAAAACCCCTCATTATTCGAATTGCCAGGCACTTGTTGTGCGTGTTTTTGTCAAAAATTTCACGCATCGTTTTCTGCTTTGGCGGCAGACACATACAAATTGACTGTTTTACTAGCTCAGACTATATAGAAACCCCTTCCTCCCTCTTCTACTACATAAATTCAGTAGAAGCTTTAAGCTTTTTTGCCAGAATTACACTCACAACAAACCAAAAGTTTGAGTTTAACTTGTTGGCCTGATAAGACTTCGGGACCTAACGTCACTTTTGTTATTCTGAGTTGTTTTCATTTCTTGTTTAGTTTTTTTTTTTTTGATAAATGGCTTTGTCGTGTGGCTTTCGCTGTTAGTTTCGGTGTATACAATTTTGTGAAATGAAGTCATCGCTAGGAAAAAAATTGGGGGTCAGTATAAGTGTGTATAAAATCCATCTTTTTCTTTATCTCAATCAGAAAGTTGGGGATTTAGGTTTGCTCATATTTTGTTTTGCCTTCTTCCGTTTGATAAAGTATTGTAGAGGATGTTCTTGCCTTTAAGTTTTTATTTCACTCAACGAAAGCTCACTCAAAACAAAAATATCACTCATACGCCGCTTGGGCCTTTGCTAGCCAGTGACTGCGCATTTGTCCAAACAGTTGAGTTTCGACATCGCCAGCATTCGCGCGTTTGCCTTAAAGTAGTTGAAAAATATCCAAAGAATAGAAGAAACACTTTGTTGGAAATTTATTCTAGAGTTTTGATAAATTTAAAAAAAAATGTAAGTTGGAAAAACACAAAGGAAAATCATAAAATTAGCTTGTTGATTTTTTGAACGTTATATCCTTAACCTTTGAGCAGCCTCCAGACTAAGGTTTATATTTTATTTGAGGCGAAGGTTTTATAGCAGGCATTTCAAGAGCAGATTTTGACCCACTTACCGCCAATCGCGTTCCCCTTTTCTTTTGTTCCTGTGGCATCATTGTTTTCAATTTCCGTTTGGAGGACTTGTATTAGGCACAGTTTCCCCATTTCCGTGTGTATATATGCGTGTGTTTAAATCATCAGTCTGACATTCCAGCCCCAAACCCCCAGAAACCCCTTCTCCAAACTGGCGCTTGCGCGTTTCCCAGCTCCCAGTGATGTCATCTGGGCTAGTGGTGATGTAGGTATAAATTACATACACATATTATGCCCAGAGCATAAGTCCCCTAAGTCAATGATTTCTCCATTGCGTTGCGTGCTGTATCAGAATCCCCTTTGCTTCCTGTTTCGTGCCCCCCAACAAAAATATAAAAAAATCATTTTAATTTATGCATTCAGTCCGAGGCGCTAATATTCCCAAATGTTTATATACACACACATATATAAATATCTGGTGCAGTATTTCATGTTTATCCCCCAGCCATTCCATTTATAAATATAAAACAAGATGACCCAATTTTCCCTTTATTCATTTGTTCTCCGTCGGTCCACTTGAGGTAGGTTGGGTTAATAATTATGGCCTACCACTTGCCCTCCTCTTCAGGAAGTCCATTATTTTCCACATTTGGCTATCTATAACCCATTCATATTCCTATTCAAATTTAAGCCATAAATATTCCCAATTAACTTTTACCATTTTGGTTAAAAAACTAATTAAAATGTTGGCAACGAATTCGCAATGGTCGACTGGAGCTGGATGAGAACTTGTTCCCCAGATCAGAAATACAGAGAAAGAAACCAAGACAGAGATGGGAAAATGAGAAGAAACAAATTATTTATGGTCTGACAGCCAAAGCGGATTATTTCTGATTTAGACTATCCACGCTCCCCATCAGACTGCCTGATTTTCTGCGGTCATGTTCACGAGGGGTATGATGACTATGAGTTGTCAAAGATAATTTAAATAATAAATAATAATAACAAATATAAAATATAAAGATAATTTAAATAATAAATAATAATAACAAATATGTAGTATCCAAATTTGTTCAAAACATATCCTGTGTCGCAATCTTTGAACAATCTTCAGATAAGTTTTTCCGGTTTGGAGTGAGGTAATTTATTACGTCCTTATAAATCATAGATGGATTGTATATTCTTAACATATAAAAAATTGTTTTTCTTAAAACAATATTAATGAATATTAGTCATATTTGTTACTCTTTTTTAAAAACTACGTTGTTCAGAGCATTCTTTCTTCGTTGTACTTTAATATATTTTCATCTTTAAGCTCTTCTTGCATATTCCAACTTCTTTTGTGGTGTAGTTTGTCAACTTTTCTTGTTTCTCAGTATTTATGGGTTCCAATTACAAGTTGGGGCGGAGTAAAGGGTTTCATTAGTCTTCCCCGGGGACGGGTTCGGTAATTTGTTTCGTCTTGAGCGGAGTTCAAGTTCAATGACCCTGGTCCAATAAGATGATTAATGACCGGAGGACTTGCGATGCATGCAATGCTCTCAATTAACCAGTTGGATTGAGTAGATGAATTCGATGGATTATCTGGGGAATATGGGCTATGAAATTGCCTCACCCCAGAGCTAGTTTAGAACTGATCCCAAAGCAGCGTAATCGAAAGCCGGCGTAATGAGGCGATGACATAAGCAATGACTCGATTCACTCATTATTCGATGGGGGGTGGTATAGTATAGTGTTTGACATGCTCGACGTACTGCATCAAGGTCACGGCGATTGGGTGCACACAAGTATATACCCCTTCCTTTTCGATTTGTTAACATCTGTCCAGGCACAAGCCACAGCATCATATCTCACGGTTAGAGGACCCCAAACTGGTTGCAGTCCCATCTTATCGCCGCCTTAAATGGTTCCCCAAACATCTTCCAACTCTCCTGGGGCTCAGACTTTCAACCTTAAGTGGTGCGTAATTAATGGCCCCGCCAATAAATGCTCACGTTTTATTTACTGTTTATGGCAGGATGAGGATTCAGTTGCCCAGCCATGCATTTACGACTTCGTGTTGGGTAGCCTGTAAACACGACGACAATTTATGCTACTAGCAATTTTAAAGCTAAATTATCATCCAAATTTATGCCACGTTCGATGGCCAACAAATTAAGTGAGGTATTTTGGGAAATAGGTTGGGGAAAATTAACTGTTTGCTTTAAATAAGTAAATACAAATTGTTTTTTGAAGCGTTGTACATATTCAGTTTTAAATAAAACCCTAGGGGCAATACTGTTGATACCCAAGATTGAAGCAGTAAAAGATATTTTTTATATTTTGTCTTCTAAAAACCATCTTTCAAGATAATTTTACCCAAAGGCAATGTAACATCAACCAATCAACCAATGTTAACTGTATGTTTAAAGCTAATCATAATAGATCTCGCAAGCTACCGCTAAGTTCTGACCCCCTTCAGAGAAACCTATGTGAGCCCAACCTGTTGACTATTTATTTTTGTTTATTTGGGCTTAGCAAAAAGACGATAATTGGCTTTGTTAGGAGATGGGGGAGCCAAACAGATGACGCCATTTCATTATGGCAAATCTCCCAATTTTGCCTGTGGTTTTCCACCTCTCAAAAAACATCTGAGAGAGCTTTGGTCTAGCTTTGGGTGGCTATTGCTTTGTTATTGTCCAGTATAAATTTTAATATCATGACGATGGGAAAGTGTGTAAAATACAGATAAGCTTCTCGTAAAGATACGAATGGGAATTGAAGCTTGTGAGTTGACAAAGACAGACTAGACCCACCGCAATGTTGGTAAGCGTTGTGGCCCACAGGTAAGAAACTACGTAGGTCGTTTACTTAGTAGATTACGCATAAAAGGAACAGTTGCGTGATAGCAGAGACCACAACAAAGTGGTAAATGAAAAACTGACCTTTCAGGCTATGCGTATTATAAACTTTTAATGACCCTCCTTACTAAAAACTCCTTATTAAAAACAGGAGATATTTCGACCAGAGCTGGGTAATTTTTCTAAAGCCCCTTGACTTTAATAACAAGTTTAAAGGTCTCAAAGGTTATTATTAAATTACTTATTTTCAAATTTCAATATTTCCAATATTTTCTCACAGTGTTTAAAATAGTATAATCTTAACGAAAATAAATAATATCATTTCTTCCAAATATTTTGCAGATCCACCATGTCCGAGGCAGCAGCAGCAAATGGCAGCCCCTCTCCGGCTCCCACTCCCGAGGTTCCGGAGGCCGAGTTGGCCCAATTGGCTCTGGAGGATGAGCCCAAGGTTAGCTTTTCGGATCAGTTTAAGGCCTTCTCCAAGTTCGGGGACTGCAAGTCCGATGGCAAGCTGATCACGCTCTCGCAGAGCGACAAGTGGATGAAGCAGGCCAAGGTCATCGACAAGAAGATCACCACCACGGACACAGGCATCCACTTCAAGAAGTTCAAGGCCATGAAGATCTCACTCATCGACTACAACAAATTCCTGGAGGATTTGGCCAAGACGAAAAAGGTGGAGCTGTCGGAGATCAAGCAGAAGTTGGCCGGCTGTGGAGCTCCAGGAGTTGTTTCCGTTTCGGTTAGTTTTTTAAGATTTAAACTGAAAAACAATTCCTTACAAAAGATTACTTTACTATCAGCCAATCAGTTAGTTTAAAATCATTACTTTTTGGTCCTTTCATAAAAATTGTTCTGCTCTTTTTTCTGTTTATACTGAGAATAACATATTATTTTCGTTTTTCTAGGCTGGAAAGGCCGCAGCTGCCGTGGATCGATTGACGGATACTAGCAAGTACACCGGTTCCCATAAGGAACGCTTCGATGCCACCGGAAAGGGGAAGGGAATCGCCGGCAGACGGAACGTGGTCGATGGATCCGGCTATGTGAGTGGTTACCAGCACAAGGACACCTACGACAACGCCCACTAAATGGGGAACCCCCAAATTTAAAACCGCCCACACACTCACTAAAAATCTGTCTTTCTAACTTTTGTGTTTTCTTAGTTAATGTCTCCCATTTCGTTTGGTAGCTGCAATAATTTATCTTTGTGTACATAATCTAAGTTTGTGATAATTTAAGTGCTTACAAATAAATTAATATATTTTGATTATGCTTTTGAGTTTTTTTATTATGTTTTTCTTACGTTAACCTTAGATACGTAAAACTCTGATGCGGCCCAAAAAAAGTTCAAAAGCAAATCCCAATCAAATTTATATAACTTTCATGGTATTCGAATCCATGTTTGCTAGTTTTAAGATAAGAGATAAACTTTTAATATTGAAATTTGTGAAAGAAATTTAATTATCATATATGGAAACCAAAGATATACGACATACATATACATACATACGTGGATATGTTTTGTTCTCATAAGAGTTTTGCTTAAATAAATACACTTAAAAATGTCTATATTGATTTCTTATAAAACTGGAAGCCATTCCTAAATGGAATCGAAAATATATAATTATTTAGAAAACTAATTCCTTCATGAACAAAAATATTTACATTATATATATTTTGAGGTAAAAAAAAAGTAAAAGTATCTATTGTTTCGATCTCACTGGAAAATGGTTATTAAGAGATCAATGCTTTATCTCTGAAATGGAATTATCAATGATGCAAAGCTGACATCTCAAAAACCAGAGCGCTGTGAAGCAGACTGAACGCTACAGCGACCAGATGGCGATGGAAATCGATATGGCGGCATGAGTTTGCATAATCCTAACCCAGAGCAGGTGGAAAACTAGCTATTGATTGCAGCCGAACCAAAGTCACTCAAAGATATATCATATATCCCTCGGAAAATTGCTATAAAAGCGGCGGTCGGCGGTATTCCAAGTCAGCAGCGCAACTGAGGAGCTCTGAGCTTGATGAAGCCACAAGGAATACACCCAACTACTACAAATATCAGCCAGCCAAAGATGTCCTTTCGCGGCAAGAATGCAGTGGTGACCGGCGGAGCTGGAGGCATCGGTCTGCAGGTGTCTAAGCAGCTGCTGGCCGCCGGAGCAGCGGTGGGTTAATTTCCCTGCCTAATGAATAGTCATTCCTTAAACCTTCGTCTCCCAGAAGGTGGCCATCATCGATCTGCAGGACAACTTGGAGGAATTTGTGAAACTGAGAGCCGCACATCCCACGCAGAGCGTCATGATCGTCAAGATGGATGTGGCCAATAAGAAGGGTGTGGAGGCCACTTACGAGGAGATAGCCAAGACCTTCGGCAACATTGATATTGTGGTTAACGTGGCTGGCATTTTCAATGATAAGGATGTTCAGAGGACTCTGTTGGTGAATCTCGGTGGCATTATCAACTCCACGCTGAGTGCTTTGCCTTACATGGGCAAGGATAACGGCGGCAAGGGTGGCATTGTGGTGAACATGAGCTCGGTGGTGGGCTTGGATCCGATGTTCATCATTCCCGTTTACGGAGCTACTAAGGCGGGCATCATCAACTTTACCCGGTGCTTGGCGGTAAGACGAATCTCTTAGATATCTCGCATATTCTTGAATATACTTTCGCTTATTTTTTCTCACCAGAATGAAAAGTACTATCAACGTTCTGGCATCAAGTTTGTTACTGTCTGTCCTGGAGCGACGATGACAGATATGTTCACCAACTTCACGGAGAAGATCATCTTCCCGGAGACCAGTGACGAAACCTACAGGATCCTGGATAGGTTGAACAAGCAGAGTGCCGCTGATGTCTCTCGCTGCATTCTAAATGTCCTGGAGAAGGATAAGAACGGAGCTGTCTATGTCATCGAGGGCAAGCGCGTCTTTCCTTTGGAGATGAAGCCCCAGTGGACGGGCAAGGAGCAGGCCCTCTGAGCAGGGATAAATTCCTCATATCCTAACCACATACACTATAAACATCTGAACAAATTATGGAAATTAGGTATTTAATAAACAAACGAAGCACACTGTAAAGTTATTTTTCGATTAGTCGTCGCGCCAGCTGACTAGCACTTCGTCAGTGCGGAAACGCTGCGTCACAAAGGCCTCTTCCAGGGGCATCCGGGTGCCAGAACGGAACATCTCTGCTCCGGCGTGGGCAATCATCAAACCGTTGTCTATGCAGTAACGTTCATCGATGGCGAAGAGTTTTCCATTACGCTCTTCGCACATAATACGCATCATCTCCTGAAGTCGCTCATTGCAGCCCACGCCCCCAACTATAAGGACCTGGAGAAGAGGTGGGTTAGCTACGAGTACTAATAACGAATAGGAATTACAGCCCACCTCATTGGAGCCACAGTGGGCCATAGCTCGCTCTGTGATCTCCACCAGCATAGCGAATATGGTCTCCTGCAGCGAATAGCAAAGATCCGCTTGGCTGTAATCTATTACTTCCGCTTCCTGCGGCTTCTTCCTCTTATTCTGCCTCTTTCCCGGTTCAGCCAGATCTTCGATGTAGGACAGAATCCCGGAAAAGCTCACATCCATGCCTTTGACCACATAGGGTAGTTTAATATAACGATTGCTTTGCTTGGCAAGCTGCTCGATGTTGTAACCCGGACTGGGATCGTTGGACAGCTTGATGATGCGGGCAAATCGATCCAGGCAATTGCCCACTGCAATGTCGATGGTTTCTCCAAAGATGCGATATCGCTTATTGGAGTAGGCAATAACCTGGGTATTTCCACCACTTACATAGAGCACAATGGGATTCTGCGCACCGGTGATCAGACGACCCATCTCGATGTGTCCAATGCAATGGTTCACGCCCAGGAGAGGAATGTCCCACAAAAGCGACAACGTACGGGACACAATAGCTCCTACCAGCAGAGGAGGGGCCATACCTGGCCCTTTTGTATAGCAAATCACATCCAGATCCGAGGGTTCAAGTTGGGCCTCCTTTAAGCTGGCCTTCACCAAGCCCAGGATAGCTTCTCTGTGATGCTTGGCCGTCTCCTTGGGCAGGAAACCTGTTGCATAGAATATCATAATGAAATCTTTATAAAAGCCGGTTAAGTAGGATCTTGATATACCTTCTCCTGGTGGCGTTATATAAGTTCTCCGTACATTAGCCAGCACTTCACCATCCTTTATAATGCCTATGCCTATTTTATTGGCACTGCCTTCAATGCCCAAAGCGCAAACCATGCTTTAATTCTAGTAAAATAAAAACAATTTCAATGTAAACAAAAAACAGTATGACCCTTTTTCTGAAAAGAGAATTTTGGTGGATGTAAATTATGTTCACACTGAAATAAGAGGGTAGTCAACCTTAATATACAAACAGCTGTTTTGCAAATAGCAAACTTTGTTGTATAGCTAAAATACGCGAATTTCTTCGTCAAATTTGAATTAATGATAAAATAATTAAAACAAATAATGGAGTCAGCGCAGGCCGCAAAGCCGGCTGAGGTGGAAAGTCCAGACAATATGGAAAATGGAGATTCTGCTCGGCATTTAGACAACTTCGAAGAGAAATCAAATGAAGACGTGGAACTGCAAGCGGATTTTATTGACCAGCAGCTGGAAGAAAGTGCCCCAAAAAGTGGACAGGATGAAGCCAAAATGGAGGAGGATCTCAAGGCAGCCGTCTTGGAGCAATTGCCAATTGAAGAAGGGGAGCTGACCCTGCGATTCAAGGATCTGCAGGCCCAGGAAAAGGAGGAGGAACTGCATCAAAATCCTTCGAAGCCTTCCCAGAACGACATCCTGTCCCATGTCCACTGTTTGGCCCAGTTGGAGGAGCAGCGTCGCAACTACGAGCAACAGTTTGAGCAACTGCGCACCTCCATTAACCAGAAGGACAACATGATCACCCTCATCCAGCGGGAAAACGCTATCCTGGGCAAGGAAAAGCAGGCCTGCCGCAAAGAAATGGACATGGCCAACAAGGAAAAGGAAGCCACCGTCATCAAATTTGCCATGAAGGAGAAGCTACTCATCGATGCCAAGAAGGAAAAGGAGGCGGTGGAGAAGCAACTGGCCGAGGCTAAGAAGGAGGTCAAGAATGTGTCCACCAGATTCCTGGCTGTAAGCGAAGAGAAGTCTCGCATGACGTATATCATCGATGAAAAGGTGGGTTTGAGTTTACACTTATGGAAGTTGGACTACAGATGAATAACCTCTTATCTTGGTCTTATCAGTGCAACGAAGTCAGAAAGTACCAACGGGAGTGCGAAAAGTACAAAATAGAAATGAGTCACTTGGAGTCCAAGCTAAAGTACCACATAAACAAACTAAACATCGAAACGGAGGCCAAGGCGGTATGTGAAGATAATCCAAGCTTTTCGCATTTTTTTTAAACTTGATTTCTATTTTAGGTTGTTGAACGCAAATTGGAAGAGGAAAAGAATGCTCCGAATAAGCTGGAGGAAAAAGCTAATGGTAAGATGTATTTTTAATAAAATAAGTTTAAAAATGTCTTACCTATTTCTTTTCGTTTAATAGAGAAGCTTAAAATGGAATTTGAAGCCAACACAATACTCTTGAAACACGAGATCACTAGCAAAACTGATGCTTTGGATAAAGTCACCAAAGAGCAGCAAAGACTAAGTGAAGCGAACAAGGAACTGCAGCAACAGCTTCAGGAGATTGCATCTGCGGTAAAGTCAAGTTATGCGCACTAAAATATGGCTTTAAATTAATTCGTACTCCTTATATGCAGCATAACCAGCTCACTGAGGAATTTAATCGCTTGAGGGAGCTGCACAATTCCGTGGAGGCTTCCTACAGCGATGAGCTGCTTAACTCCGCTAAACTCAGGGGACAACTAGACGAACTTCAGCTTTTACGAACTCAGAACACTATGTACGTTTTAATAAAAGCGTAATTATGACTATTATTTATTTGAAATGAAAAATTTGTACTTCTTTCCGTTCCAGAAACGAAGAAAAACTGTCGGAGGAGCTAAGGAGGGTCCAGCAACTAGAGGCTTTGGCCCAAGAAAACGATATCGACCTGGAGCAACTCAAAGATAAGAAACAGGAGTTACTTACCATCAACAAGGAAATGAGTGAGCTAATTGTGCGACTGCAGAACGACATTTGTTTGGCCGAGGCCAAGGTGAGTAAAATAAGAGTAAAAAAGGAAAAAAAATGTACATGCCCCGGGTGAGGCTCGAACTCACGACCTTAAGATTATGAGACTTACGCGCTGCCAACTGCGCCACCGAGGCTATGAATATCCAAAGATTCTAAGCAGCTCCTAAAAATGTCGATATCAAAAGAAACCTTATGCAGGCAAAGGATCTAATAATTTACTCTCTGTTTATATGCAGGCCCAAGGCTTAGAGGCTGAGAACAAGTTACTCAAACAGGAGAAGCTCAGCTACGATTCCAAATACAATCAACTGGAGCAGCAACTCAGTTTGGAGGCGGTGGAGAAGGGCGAGGAGCGCCTGCTGTTGGCAAAGCATTTATCCGAAAAGACCAAATTGTACGAGCTGACCAAGCAGAAGCTGGAGGATGTCCAAGGGGACTATGAAGCCATCCAGCACAAGCATGCCACCGTGGTTAAAGAACTTCACCGAGAGCTGAACAAGTTCAAAAGGGGGATTACGGATTCCAAGACACCTATCAGCTACTGTAGCAATTGTCAGCAGGCGATTAATGGTTACCCTACGGAGAATCCTCAGCAACGCAGTCATAGTCGCTCCAGTAGCCATGGTAGCTTGCACAGCGGCAGCCGCCGAGCCAGCGAATCGTCAGAATCGGAAACGGTGGCCAGTAGTGCCACCACAGTTCAACAGCCGCCACCGCAACAAGATCTACAAGCGGTTCCGTCCAAAAAAGTCCTTGTGGAGAGGATACTGCGTTTGCAGCAGGCCACTGCCCGCCAAACGGAACGCATCGAGTTCCTGGAGAACCACACGGCCGCTCTGGTGGCCGAGGTGCAGAAGAAGTCCAAGGTGGTGCAGCACTATATGCTCAGGGATCAGACCGCCGGCGCATTAACCACGTCGCGGAGCGATCAAAACAAGAGCGAACTGGTCAAGTACGGAAATGGGATTATGGCGGCCATCTATGGAGGATCCTCGAAGGCGGGAGGCGAAAACAAGGCCATGTCTTTGGAGCTTTCTCTGGAAATCAACAAAAAGCTGCAAACAGTGTTGGAGGATACGCTGCTGAAGAATATTACGCTAAAGGAGAACCTCGATGTGTTGGGTCTCGAAGTGGACAATCTCACCAGGAAATTGCGCTCCCTGGAGGTCAACGGGAAGTAATGCCAGTCTTCTTACACATTGTATTCCATTCCAGAGTCTAACCCGTGTATAGATAGTGTACAAAATGTATGAGCTTAAGTTTAAGTGTATAATATATGTATTTAATATTTTAACAATGTCCCAGGTTTATAATAATCCCTCGTAAAGTTTGGCGCTTACGGGTTTGGGCTGTCCGACACCTAACTCGAAGTTAATAGAGGGTTTCTCACCATCCTTGGCTAATCTGGACAGTTTGTTGTGGGTTACTTTGTGATGCACCTTCATCTGGGGATTGGGATTCCCCGTCTCCTCCGATACCAGCTCGCGAAGCAGAGGTGGCAGATCAAGTTTGGTGGGCAGCACCACTGGTTCCAACTTCTTGTTGTTGTTCAGGTACTTGCCCTCCTCACCCTGGGGCACCAGTTCGTAGTCCGCCTTGTAGCTGGTGCTGTAGATCTCGACGGGCTTGGGCTGGGTTACTCCCCGCCAGGTCTTCTCCACGGTGACCCGGACCTTGCGGATTTCGCCGGGCTGTTCGTCCACGGATTGCACCTTCAAAATCCGCATGTAGCAGGGCTCCGGGTATCGCTGGAACATGTTACGTATGAGCAGGCGACCGACTCCCCAGTTGGGCAGATCCGAAACCAGCTCCCACAAGGTGTTGCCGCGGAAGTCCGTGGTCCGGCCGATGTACTTGATAATCTTTTGGGCCATCTCGTGTTATTTAACTAGTTTCTATTGAATTTTTGGTAGAAGTTAAGGAAACCGTGAGTTTGCCATTCACCAAGAAGGTCGAACAGCTGGGCCGGCAGCTTAACAGAGCTGTTAGAAGTTAACAGTCTTATGTTGTGGGGAGAAATTTTGTAGGCTGGCAATACTGCGTGGCAACGAATTTATTTTTGAAAAAAGTGTGCCGAATAGAAATTTGTAAAAGTTTAACCCCTTTTCCCTATTAAATAAATCATTCGTTTTTAAATATTTTATTCCTTAAAATTTAAAAGTAATTTATTTGGTTAAGAAATCCATTTGAATGTGCTGACAACTCACAGCCACGTAAGTCTGACTTGAATGCGTTTATTTTATTTACATAAATATTGTTTTCAACTTCAATTCGTGTTTTAACTATTCTCAGTGCAAATGATTGTCCCTCACTAATACGGAGTTCTGACATGTTCGCTTAGTTCCTCGCCGCCAGCTGTGTGGCCAACACCAGTGGGCTCCTGGTGCTCGTCGTAGGACTCATCCCCTCCGCTAAAATCCTGACCATCGTGTCCGTGAGCCGAGGGATTGGTGCTCTCGTGCAATTCAATTGTGGCATGCTGGGCCGCCTTGGAAGCATTCACCTGGGCTGCAGCTGCTGAATTGGCCGCCTTCAAAGCGGATTCCTTGGTGGCCGCATAGTCCACTCGCGCCTGGTGCAACTGCTCCTCCACCTGCTCCAATCGATTCTTGGACTGCCCAACCATCTGGGATTGCGAGGCCAGTTGATTGTTCACCTCCGTGGAGGTCTGCTCCGCCTGTTCAGCCACGGACTTGGCATTATTCACGGCTGCTGTGAGCACGGAGATGTGATGATGGGCCGCTTGAGCCGTCTGCTGGGCCAGTCTAGAGGAGATCTTGGCCGCCTTCAGTTGCTCCAGTTCGCGGGAGAGCGATCGTTGTGCCTCGGCTGCCTGCTGCTCCAATTCCTGGAGCACCACTTGCTTTCCCACCAGCGCCGCTTGAGCAGTGGCCGCCGCCTGGGAAGCGGCTTGAGCCAGGGTATTCTGGGCTATGTAAGCCGCCTGCTTGGCAGCCGCATGTTGGTTGCTCACCGCACTGTGCGCCTGATCCGCCGATCCCTGGGCAATGGATCGCAGGCCACTGCCAATGCTGTAGCCCCCGGATCCCTTGCTCGTAGATGACGATGATCCACCTCCTCCGGATGGACTGTAGTAGCTCTTGGGGCTGTGTTGTGGCTTCTCTGGCTCCGGAGGATCCACTGCTGGGTGGTGGGGTTCAAAGTATCCACCCTGGTGGATTGGTGGCGGCTGCTGGGGTCTGTAGTGATACCCATTCCTCTTGTGCAGGCGTCCCATCACATGGGCCAAAAGAGCCACTAGAAGGATATCGAGAAATATAATTCACTTTCACAGAGATTTTTGTATCGTGTTATTAAATATTAATATTAATTTAAAAAGTATTTACAGAGTGATATTGTGTTTTGTAATATTTCGAAATAATAACATTCTAAAGAAGTTTCTATTAACCACTTTCTTTTTTAAACGAAAGATTTGATTTTAAATTTCACTAAATATTAGGATACATTTATAAACCAAATCGTCTTCTATGGTTTAATTTAGTATTTTTTATGTTTATATGTTATGTTAAGTTATTTTTCACATCGAATCACTTTTGTAAAAGGGTATTTCCCGGCTTACCCAAAACCAGCTGGCCGAGAAAAAGACGTAATCCTTTGCCGAACATCTCGCTATCGCTGCTGGAACTGCATTGAACTTCAATTTCTTTGGAAGTGCCCAATTTATAAGTCTCTCAGAGACGCCAGCCGAGCATAAAGTTTTTCAAGTTGCGGAAAGTCGGTTGCGGTTTTTAAATTTAACTGATCATGGGCATGTTATGATTTTCATACTCCCAGCTATTTGAATATCTCTGCCCACTATATGGAGTTAAGTCCACACACATTGCACCTTCACACCCATTTCTTTTCATCCCATTGAGGAAGCTAGGCGACCACTTTTGGGTCCAAGATTCGGTGGCGTCTTTTAATGCTTCGCTGGCACGCTTTTTTTGACCAAACGGACAGTGTAAAGCGGTCGGCCCCTACAGTTTGTTAATGTCTAAAATTTAATTTGCATTTTATGTGCTGCACTACTTTGTAATTGAACTTTAAGTGGCGCTTTTGGCGGGCTCCGCAGTGCATCGATGCAGAGAAAGCCATTTCGGGGATTACGTTTTCAGGCAGATTAACTAGCTAACGAAATTCGGCAATTTACGAACAGGGGAAGTCTGGGCAAAGTTTTTCAATCAAAATTTGAATATAATTTTAATTTTAAAATTATATAATAATACTATACACTGTTGCAGTTACCATTATTACAGAGTTTCTATAAGCACTGAAATTACAAAAAGAAAATGTACCTATCAAAAATTTATTTTAAAAAAATTGCATTGGTAAATCGAATGTAGGTTTCTTAAAATCTTCAATATTGGAAAGAAGTTCTGAGTTTAATGTCATAATTACTTAGATTAACACAATTGGTCCTTCTTTCTTCAACCCTAATAGTCCAATGTTCTTCAACCTGATTTCAAACTAAATTATTGGTCATCACAAAAATCAGGTTTTACCAAACCTATTGCTAGAAAATATCAGTAAACATTCCAACTTAATAATAATCAGAAACCCCAAAAAAACTTTGTCCCCTCACAACGATAAAACTCATTTTCAGTTTTTTTTTATAAATTATTTTTTATTTAAATACATAATTATAAATTTATTACAAATATATAAATAAATTAATTATGACAAACACTATTTTACAAGACAAAATCGGAACTCAGATGTACAAGATACAAGTTACAATTAATATCAACAAGTGGTGACGCGACGGCTGTGCGTCTTCAATTGAGTAACAACTGTGGGCCGCTAATGAGTGGGTCAACAAGTGAAGTGAACTGAAGTGAAGGGGCGACTGTGGGCGCATAATATAGTATGTAACAAAATATAACAGGTAATCAAAGAGACAATCGTAATAAATAAGAGTGGCGACGCTGATAAATACGATGACGAATGCGACAATCGAAACAATTCGAGAGTAAGCAAAAGTTTGTAGTGATGGCTTCGCTTAGAAGTGGAAAACGAACTCGTCGGAGGAGGAGGCGTCATCTGGTATTGATTCAGAGGGATTCGCATGGTAGGCGGTCACCTCCTGCTCCTCCTCCTTTTCATCATGGTGCTCCGTTAATCATTGATAGCTTTGGGTGATCTGTTGGATCCAAGGCAGATAGGCAGAGACCTTCACGTAGACTCCAGGAACATTCACCTGACCGCATCCAATGCCCCAGGACACCACACCCACGACGTGCATGGCGCCATTCCTGTCGCACACCAAAGGACCACCGCCATCACCCTTGCAGGCATCCTTGCCCTCCTCTCCGCCGGCGCACACGAATCCGGGATTCAGTTTGTAACTATAACCCAGACGGGTGTTCCTCAGCTGCGATTCGCATTGTTGGTGGGACAGGATTGGCACATCCACCTCCTTCAGGATGTTCTGGTACTTTCCGTGCTCTCCAAAGGCATCCTTGCCCCATCCGGTGGTCCAGCAACGAGCTCCAGTGAAGTCGGAATACTTGTCGGGCAGACAGGCGGGACTGATGTGGGGATTCTTGGTGAAGTCAACGGGCTGATCCAGTTTCAGGACGGCCAGATCGTTGTCCAAGGTGCCAGCATAGTACTCGGGGTGGATGTGCACAGAAACCACATCGCGTTCGATGTAGGGGAAGAACTCCACATCATGGTTCACATCCCATTCGCCCAGACGCACACGAAGATCGAAGCCATTTTGACTGGATTAGAGAAGGTAGGAGGTTAATCCACTGATAGAAAGTGGTTTTAGGAATTATAAACTTACGATTTAATGCAATGGGCAGCGGAGATGATGTGCTGGGCATCGATGAGAGTGCCACCGCAGGCGTAGATCGACTCCTTGGGGTCCTTCTTCAGGATGGCCACATGCCAGGGATACTCGCCGAACTCACTGTCTCCGTCCACGTACACGGGATTCTTGATGCGACCGGTGATGCCGGCGGCGTTCCTCACTCCACAACGACCGAATTGCTGGGGAGGAGCCTGGGGGCGAAGGGGACGACGGCAGCAGACCTCGTTGATGCGGCAGGTCTTCTCCACGGGACGGTTGCCATAATAAGCGCGCTAAAAAATATCAAAGATGGGGATACAAATTAGCTAGATGTCAGGGAATTGGGTAGTATCTTATCTAATGTCCAAATTCACATCCAATCTAAAGTGTTCTAGCTTCCTTAAGGTAGAATCTTTGTTTTGATTCCTATCTTTATCATATTAGATACTTGCAATTTTAAAATATTTAAAATTTTCTACTCGAACGTAAAGATCTGTAGATATAATTACTATTGAAATCAGTATAGCGATGATATAAATTTGTTGGATGTTTTAAATGTGTAACTCTATATCCATTTTGGACATTTTTGATTTAAGGACATTTATATTATTTTTTCTTTGAATGTTCAAGCTTAAAACACTGAAATCCTTGATCAACACATGGTTACCTGCTCCTCAGGAGCTGCTCCCGCCCACACACCATCCTCAACGCTCCGGCGCCTGCGATCCCTGGGGAAAGTGATCCGATCACTGCCAGCTGCTCCACCAGGAGCAGGAGTGGGAATGTTGTAGAGAGGTCCCAGGTTCAACTGCTTGCCCCGACGACCGGAGTTCGATGACCAGGAGGAGGGTTCACCACCGCTCACATTGGCACTTCGTTCCACATGTTGCGAGTACTCGCCAAAGCCACCGAAATCGGGACTAGATCCAGGATATATGGAGTTGAAGGAGCTCTCATAGGGAGACGATTCGTGGTGATGATGATACTGCGTAGGTGCAGACGGGCCACTGTGATACTCAAAGATCGGAGTACTTGGCACCATTTCCACACTGAAATGGGGACCAGGACCAGATCCTCCATAGAAATGGGGATGCGAGTGATGGTCGTGGTGATCGTAGTAATCATGGTGACCGTGGTGATCGTAATCGTGGTGCTCATAGCCACTATAGTGATCGTGATGGTGGTAATGAGTGCTATACGCTTCAGTGGGTTTCCGTTTAAAGAAATCTCCCACTTTCTGGATAAGATTCGCATTCGGAGTGACATGGAGATTGACCAGCGGCTTCACCACCTTCTCGCCATATTCTGTTTTGGCCACCTGCACCGATACCAGGGGATTCACATTCACCAGACCGAGATTCAGACCGTTCGGTCCCACTGAACCAAAGTAAGGGTTCTGGGCGGGTACGTGATCGCCCAGGATATTCGAGGGATAACCTCCATATCCGCCGGTAGGATAGGGAAGACCAAAGCTCACACCATAGGTGGGCAGCACTTTCCGTTGGATCAGTTCGATGGCCTGGAGAGCCGGCAATGCCAATGGAGATCCTCCGAGCGGCGACTGTCTCTATTTTATTCAAGGGGAAAACATAAGAACGCTAGAGGTGGAGTTCCATTTCCGTTTGCCGGATGCAGGTTGCAGGTTGCAGGCGTGCGATCACAAGGGTCGTGCTTGGTTAGCTTAGTTCTGGTTTAGTTCTGGGATTAGTGACTGATCTAATCGGAACCGATTTGCACTCTGGTATTTTAGTTGAGCTTGGAGCGTTGAACGATGGGTGCATTTGTCAGATTGGTTGATTGATAGGTTGATTGGTTGACTGATTTATTGGTTGATTGGATGTGTGTGTGTTTGTGGGGGGAGTAGCTTGGCTATAACTCTCGATTAGTGGTCCATGTGAACCATGTGTGATTTGGCATTAGTCGGGCACTACCTAAACTAAGACTTGGGTCTTCTATACACTTACCCCTTGAGCATCGAGCGAGAGATCGCTGGCCTCCTCATCCTTCTGGTCAGCATCAGCCTGGCGACGAGTGCGCTTCTTATCATCCTTGTCCGACTTCTCCTCAGCCTTCTTTCCCTCGACAGGAGTGGTGGCATTGGTGGCCAAAGCATCGTCACTCAGAGCCTCAATGTCCTTGCCCAGGTTGCGGGGATCGATGGGCAGAATGAGATCCTCCTTGCGACCAATGCGATCGGCTGCTGGGCACTGGGAGATGGGCACACACTGGCAATCCACGATCTGCTGGCGGGAGGTGTCATAGCCGCCCTGGTATTGTCCTTGTCCTTGTGCCTGGTAACCACCAGAGATGCCATTGTACTGGTTAGAGGCTCCACTCTGCAGCTCCTTCTTGTAGTAGTCGGGGTTCTGACTGTGATAACTGGAGCTGGGCGATCCACTGAATCCTCCAGAGCCACTGTTGCCAAAGCTTCCCAGGCCGGAGTTGGGTTTGTACAGATCTCCAGAGTTGGGCTTGTACAGATCTCCAGAATTTGGTTTGTACAGATCTCCAGTGGGTTTCTGAGAGAGACCAAAGCCGCTCTGCGAAAGGAGTCCACCCTGAGAGGCGCCATTGAAGCCAGCGTTAAAGGCATTCGACTGGGAGTAACTGGATCCGGAAGAACTCTGAACCGAGGGTGTGTAGGTAGCCGAAGATTGGGCCAAGGCACTGAAGTCCGTGTTGATGGTCTGGCCAGCTCCAATGGGAATGGGGACACTTGGAACCTTGGCTCCCTCACCTCCCTCCACATGGTGGTAGTGATGGTGCACATGCTGCTGCAGGGCATCGATGGGTGCTCCCACCACCACTTTGGTGCTGGAGGAAGTGGCTGAGGA